TGCAAGAGATAGACCTAGAAGGACAATTCATGCTCCTGCAAGATTCACAGATGATAATGTTCTTGCATTTGCCTTGTCTGTGGCTGAAGAGGTGATCTCTGAGGAACCGAAGGACATTCAAAAGGCACGAAAGAGCAAGAATTGGGATAAGTGGGAATGAGCATGCGATGATGAAATGGAATCCCTAAGGAAGAATCGCACATGGGACCTTGTAAAGAGACCTAAGAATCAGAAAGTCATCGGTTGTAAGTGGGTCCTGAAGCTAAAACCGGGTATTCCTGGAGTGGAAGAACCACGATACAAAGCGAGGTTAGTCGCGAAGGGATACTCACAGCGTGAAGGTATTGACTATCAAGAGATATTCTCTCCGGTCGTCAAACATGTCTCTATAAGACTTATGCTGTCACTAACCGTGAACTTTGATTTTCATCTGGAGCAACTTGACGTGAAGACCGCGTTTCTCCATGGAGACATAGAAGAAGATATCTACATGAGTCAACCGGAAGGATATGAAGTAAAAGGAAAGGAAGAACTTGTTTGTCACCTGAGGAAATCTCTGTATGGGCTAAAGCAAGCTCCTCGACAGTGGAACAGGTGCTTTGATAGATTCATGATGAAGCATGGGTTTAGAAAGAGTGCCTACGATAGCTGCATATATTTTAAGGAGTTTGAAGAGCACAAGTATATCTACTTGTTTCTATATGTTGACGACGTGTTACTTGCATCTGAGAGTATGACAGAGATTCAGAAGGTCAAGGTGTTGCTAAACAGTGAGTTTGAAATGAAGGACTTAGGTCTAGCCAAGAGAATATTGGGGATGGATATAGAAAGAGATCGAGCAGGTGGAGTTCTCACACTTTCTCAATCTTCTTATAGTAAAAAATTCTTTCAAGTTTTCAGGATGGATGAGGCAAAGAGTGTTTCGACACCCGTTGGAGCTCATTTCAAACTTGCGAGTATAAAGGAAGAAGAAGAAGAAGCACAGCGCGAGGTTCCTTATTGCAATGCTGTAGGGAGTGTTATGTACGCGATGATCGGAAGTAGACCAGATGTGGCATACGCAGTGGTTCTGGTAAGTAGATTTATGAGTAGCCTTGGAGCTGTTCACTGGTCTGCTGTTCAATGGTTACTCATGTACTTGAGGTTCTCAGAATAAGAAATTGGTATTCATAAAGGGTTCAGGCTTCAGAGTCGAAGGATATTCAGACTCAGACTTTGCTGGTGATCTAGATCGTCGAAGGTCTACAACAGGTTACGTGTTTACTGCAGGAGGGAATACAGTGAGTTGGAAGTCAGGGTTGCAACAAGTGGTGGCCTTGTCTACAACAGAAGCTGAATATATAGCGTTATCAGAAGTAGTAAAGGAGGGAATCTGGCTTAAGGGACTAACTGAGGAACTGGGCTATAAGCAGGAGGAGATAGTCATTTGGTGTGACTCTCAAAGCGCGATTTGTCTGGCTAAAAATAATGTGTTTCACGAAAGGATGAAACACGTAGCTGTGAAGTACAATTTCGTCAGAGATGCGATTGATGCTGGAACAGTGAAGGTTCAGAAGATTCCGACCTCAAGAAATACTGCGGATATGCTCCCAAAAGTTATTTCTGTCCAGAAGTTTGAGCAGGCTTTGGCCTTGCTCAAAGTGACCAGGTAGTTGTATTGGTCATGCTTGGTGGTACTTAAGTAGAACGAACCCTATGAAGAACTGCGTTGACGTCAAGGTGGAGATTGTTGAAGATCTGTGACGGTCAACGCTTGTTGAAGATTTTCTCTTAACCGGTTCTGGTTAATTAGAATTAGTCTGGTACAGAGTTAGATTGGTAGTTATTGGTATTAGATGGAACTGGTTTGATTCAGGTTATACCGGGTATTTTCCTTAGCATATAAAAGGAAAGGGGATTAGGGTTTGTTCGGTGTGCTAGAGAGTTGTGTTATGAGAGAGAGAGAGATCGGATTGTGATCGTTCTCGGAAATTCTCAGGTGTACATTCTTGATCTAGTGGATTGCTTGGTGCCACCAAGCCCCAGACGTAGGGATCTCGTTTTGGATCCTGAACTGGGTAAACAAATTGTGTGTGTCGTTGTTTTTTCAATCTCTTCTTTGATTCTTTACAATCGCGATCGATCCTGAATGAAATTGGTGAGCTGAGTGCGCGGAGCAAGGAGCTTGATTTCACTACACCTTTTTTAAACAAGGGAAGGCACGGCTCTCTGAAGAGAATAAACATAATTTCTGCATGTTCGATTTCATTTTTGTCGACCTTAATGATCTTCAACGCAGCGGTATATATGTAGCTCGAGCTACCTCTCATCTGTATATATGTTTCCACAATTCCATTTCTCTTGTCTCTCTATTATGCCAATTCCGGCAATGAGTATTTATGATATCTCTTTTCGATCCAGATTTTTTTTCTTTTTTTTTTTTGGTAAAGTCTGATTTCTTTTTCTTATTAGTATTTTGTTTCAGCGGGAGAGCTTTCCATATTAGCGAGAGTCAACTATGTTTAAATGCGTGGAATGTCGAAATAGGAGGATTGAGGAGTATATCATCAATTTCTATAAAAAATTTGTTTAGAGAAAACTTGCGATATATTTACCAAATTGATTAACCGTGTTAAGAAGGAAAAGGAGAACCAAATGGTTTCTGTTTTTGTTTTTTCTTTTACTTTTTCTTTTTCTGGCACGACCGAATATAATAAAATGTTCATGCCATGCAAGTATGCTACGGAGAAATGTTAAAAGGAAATCTAATAAACATAAAATAAAATAGTTGGGTGGACCAAGTGTTGCCATGCCTCTCCAAATCTCCAATAATTGGGGCGGTGCCGATGCCAACTTTTTATAAATAAGAATTAGTATTAGTGACATATTTGACGCATGATTTTTCGTTTTAACTCGGAGACCAATATATAGTACTATTTGTGACATATTTTCAATACGTTAATCATATCTTCTTAGAGGTACCACTAAATTCGAAAATATGTGAATTATTTAGTAGGAATTAAATATTTTGGATTTTCATATTTTTCTTTGAATAGAATAATATGTTATAGAAGTTTCTGATTAGATTTCTATGAACTATCTAGGTTCAATTTTTTGGCTTGGCAAAATAAAAGATTAAAAAACATATACAATGATTTGCAAGGTCATAACTCATAACTCATTACAAAATTGATGTATGGTGCGATCATACTAACTAGCATTAATGCATCCGACCCCATCAGAACTAAGCAAAATGTTTGCAATGCACTTTTACTTTAAGAAAAAAAAAATGATGTACGAGTTCCAGCCTCTTGTCAGTTGTGTTTTTAATCATTTTTTGGTTTTTTGTTACGTATTCACACATTTCCTAACAAGCTTCAAATACATCAAAACTGAGAGAATTGAGTAAACAAGCTTCAAATTCATCAAAACTAAGAGAACTGAGCTGGTTTAATTGATTAAAATGTTGAATTTATTTATTTTTAAATTGAAAAAGGATTGTCAGCTACATAAAGTATTGTCTATTTTAAAAATATATTTATAACTATACTAGGTATTATAATTATATGATGATATGTATGCATAAACTAATATAAGTTATGCTGTCAATACCATCAAATTATACATTATCAGCGTTGATATTTGATGGAATTATCTAAATTTGATTAATACAATTCTATTTATACCCAACATGATTTCAACCTAACTCGATAAAAATTGATTTCTGACCCCAATATGTTTGTTAATGTTAATTACGTACATTTTAACAAACATTAACAAACAATTATAATTATCAATGTTTGTCCCGCTCAGGGTGATTATGCGTCTAAAACTCGATCGGAATTTCCCTGTTCAAAAAGATTAAATATAAGGATATAACTATTTGCTAATGAAATATAATTAACCAGCTAAAAAGCACATGAAGTAGGAACATAATTAATGGAGCTTGGATAGTAAGCATGGAAATAAAAGAACATGTTTTGGCATGCAGAAGGAGAATTATGCATTTGTCTTTTTTCACGTGATTAAACTAAAGCACTTAGCATATAATACCATCTTCCCACATGTTGTTCTTCATAGGCTCATCAATCGTATTTTAATGGTTTTATAACCCCCCTCTATTTTTCTGGTCGGAAGTTCATGTTATCAGGTTCATCTTATCTATGAAAATGAGAGATTAAAATTAGGGGAAAGAGATTAAAAAAGAAGAAAATTTTTACTACTTTTTTCATGTTTTTAGCTGAATCGTATATATAAACAGCGAGATGGGGGAATCAAAATAGATTTAAAAAGAAAAATTAGAGAAGCGGAGCGGCGGGAGTGGAGCCAAAAGAGAAGATGCTTATCCACTCTTCAATCAATTAAACAAAACTACAAGTCACACTAACTTAGCTTGCATCACATGCCTCATGCCTCATGCCTCATGCCTCACTCACTAATTCACTCTTATAGTTTTATGAATATCGATTTTTCTTTATTTCCAATGACATAAGAAAATTGGTGTCAATGTTGGAGAGTTGTTGAGCGTGAGATGTGACCTATGTCTTCTTCTTTGTTTTTTTTTTCTTTTATCACTTGTCAAGTCATATTATATAACATATAATTGTATGCTTGTAAACAGTTTTTGCACTTCCATTGGATGACATTCTGTCATAAGTTCAGTAATATGCAATTTAAAAGCAACAAAAAAAAAGCTTCTTAGAACTGATATATAAAGAAAACTATTTTGTTTGATTAAAAAAAGGACTACTTCTCGCCATACCAATCAAGATCTATTATTGAATTGGTTCACCACAATGGTTTAAACTCAATTAAAGAGGAAGAAAAATGACTAAAGTAACATAAATCTAATGATAGATTTAAGTATTTAACATTGTAGTTGATGAAATTATGATAATAATAAAAAACTATAGTAAATTTATCGGTTTCTACAAAATCATTTCAATGTTTGACTTCTTCACACACCTTATTTCTCTCTCTCCATCTCTTTAAGACAGTGTAAGTGTGTAATACAAGCAAGTATTTCTCTCCTCTCTCACCCAACTTCTCTTTAGTCTTCCCAACATCACTCAGAGAGTAAGCTCCAGAAAACAAACCTTAATTACTTTTCAAAATCAATGGGTAAGCTCCAGAAAATTGGGAGATTATGGGATTGTCTGTTTCTTCCGACAAATCAGTGTTCATGTTTTTGTCTAAACACTCTAGAAAACGATGAAGAAGAAGAAGAGTTTGAGAAGAAACCACTGATAGATTCTTCAACAGAGAATTCTGGGAAGATCATGAGATTGAAAGATGTAGTAGCTGATGATCATCGTCAGACTCTTGCCTTTCATCTTAAGCCTAAGGTACCCACAGATCATCCTCAACATTATTAGCCTAAGATAATTTCTTGAGCTTTGAAAAATGCTTATGACAATGCAAAGTTTTGGGAAACCGTGAAATAAATGTTTTATTAGCACTTAAAAATTGTGTGGGGTTTTTTTTTTTTTTTTCTCTTCTATGGTGTTGTGCGGTTTTCTTGTTATTCGAAGTTAGTTTTTTTTTTGGGTTCTCCCAAAATCATATAAAAATATCGTGATGCTTATAAGTTATAAAAATTCGCCAACTAAAAATAAAGTTATAACAATTCAGATTTCATATAAGATTTTAATTGAGTCATTTCTAGTGTTATATTAGCAATAATCAATTAAATTGTCCGGTTGGTGATGGTGATGTATGCAGGTAGTGGAGCTAAAGGTGTCTATGCATTGCTACGGATGTGCGAAGAAAGTCGAGAAGCATATTTCTAAATTAGACGGTAACGCCAAATCTTCTTTATTATTTTGGGCATTTCTTTTAGGGAAATGCAATCACAAGACATGAATTCAATTATTGCATCTAGTTTATTTATCTTTTTCTTCCGTCGCTCAAAAACTTACAAGAACGCGTTAATATCAAAGATATTTACGTAAGATTACATATAACAAAAAAATAACATTAATAAATATTTATTAAGATGATAGTTGCAATCATTTGTTGGGAAAGAAAAAGACCTTAAAAAATATTTCTCCATTTCTTTTATTAAAAATCCATTGGAAACTGAAATAGAACAGAAATTAAAACATTATAACTGTTGGTTTGTGTATGATTCTTGGATTTTCTGAACAGAATAAGTTTGTCAAACTAAGATGTTATACTAATGGATTTATTTCAATTATAAACAGGAGTGACATGGTACAAAGTGGAGCTTGAAAGCAAGAAGGTAGTGGTGAAGGGGAACATAATGCCAATAGATGTGTTAGAGAGTATTTGTAAGGTCAAGAATGCTCAGCTTTGGTCTTCTTCTTAATTTCTTTCTATTCCACATGGGCCTTTCATGTCCATCTCCATCTCCATCTCCATGTTATGTTATTATCATTATCTAATTATGCTTAGGTACACACATGCACGCATCTATCTTTCTAATCTATCCTTCTTTTTGGATCCATTCAATTTGTAATATCTTTAGCTCATTATAGTATTATATAAATGAATGAGGATGACTGATTAAGTTTAAGCATGTGCTTGTATTTACTATTTAATGAGGACTGGTTCTTAATTTCCCAAAATATAAAAACTGCGAGACCTAAATCATTTGAAAACAAATATATGAACACACATACTAGTTATGATGAGTATTAAATTGGAATATATAATTCTTTAAAGTGATATATAAAAATGTCCAGTTCACTTACTATCAATTGGGGATTAGATTAAAAACCTCTCGAGTTCTGATACGGAATCAAAATCGAGTAAATCCACACGAATATCGCCAGTAAAAACAAAAATTTGGTTTGATGAATGAATAAAATATAGTCATCACTTCAATAATGCGTGTTAGTGGATATGATTATTTAGGCCTATGATTAGTTATGGTATTCAGTCATGGAAGTGTAATAACAAAAAACATTATATTTCTTTCATTAAGAAGTTTATATTGGGCCACAAATCTATATTTAAAACTATCTAGTAATACATATCTAGTAATACATATCTTTAGAAAATCGGTAAATATCAGTCGTGTGAAGTGTGGACCATAGGAAGCCCCCTCCTATGCCCATAGCTGATACCTAGCCTCGTTTACCGAATCTTGCTTTGAAATGGATCAGCTGGTCTCCATGTCAGATTTAATATTGACTTTTTTTTAAAAGTAAAAAAAAGTATTGAGACAATTTTATGAAATCACTTGTTTGCATCTTCTAAAATCCAACCCACGTTCTTGTTTCAATATAAACCATTAAGTAACCGAGATTGCATTAAGTTCAGTCGTAAGCTGTGAGAGTCTTCACATTTATATATTTGTTTTTAGTTGGTTTAGTAGTCGTTAGTGGACTTTGTTGTTTTGGTCGACGGTAACACAAAATTTTAAACAATTTGATCCAAGATATCAAATTATTGGAAAAGCTGATTTGCATGAATAGAGTTTAAGCAGGTGACACGACAAAGCAACAATGTGGCCGATACAATTGCTATTTTTGTTTTGGTGGATTTTCTTCGACATGATGAACTCGTTAGTGAAAGATTCTTCCTTCTATCTACTGGTTTAGTTGGATTAGACTCCATCACCTATATAAAAAAAAACAAAACAAAAAAAACAAGGCAAATCTTAATTCTCTTTTGTTCAAATATTATTTAAACATTTTGAAAAATGAGAGGTTAAGAAAAAAAATTATTAAAATAAAATAAGCTATAGATCAAAATTTTTATTGTTAACAAGAGTTGAAGCTAAAGCTGTGATTAAAAAAAAAAAAAGGAAAACAGGGCTCCCTAAGGAAAATAAAAGCACCTTATGAATTAAATTGTCTTTACCAAGCTACAGAAAAAGAAAAACAAATTACAAAATATTAAAATTACACGTGTGCCCTAGAATCCCTAACTTTCTCTCTTTTTTCCCCAAATTAAGCCGCCGCGGCAAAATCATTCTCAGGCGACGCTGAAATCTACAGCGACCTGAAAACTCTGCTCGCTTCAATCACGGAGACATGTCTCCAAATCTCGACGCAGGACGAGACGATCATGGTTTCTCGACGGTACCGACGAAGGAGTCTGCGAGAAGAGCTAAGAAAGACTTTTAATTCCTGAACAAGAAACAAAAATGGATTCATCATCGACGAAAACGAAGATCTCGCAATCCCGCAAGAACAAAAACAAGTCAAACAAGAAGCACGACGCAATCGAGAAAAAATCCAGCAAGAAACAACAACACGGCGATGGTGGATCCTTGATGAAATCATGGATCTGCAAGAACGCATCTTGCAGAGCCAATGTGCCCAGAGACGATTCCTTTTGCAAGAGATGTTCTTGCTGCGTCTGCCATAACTTCGACGAGAACAAGGACCCTAGTCTCTGGTTAGTTTGCGAGCCCGAGAAACCAGATGATGCCGAGTTCTGTGGCTTATCTTGCCATCTCGAGTGTGCCTTTCGAGAAGACAAGGTTGGAGTTACAAGTCTTGGGAATCTGATGAAGCTCGATGGGTGTTTCTGCTGCTACTCTTGCGGCAAAGTTTCTGAGATTCTTGGGTAAAGTTTTCACCTTTTTCCTTCATTAAGTTTCTGAGATTCTTCATTAATGTGTGTGTGTGTGTGTGTTTATGAAGATGTTGGAAGAAGCAGCTTATGGCAGCAAAGGAAGCCAGAAGGAGAGATGTATTGTGTTACAGGATAGAATTGAGTTATAGGCTTCTGAATGGGACTTGTCGGTTTTGTGAGTTACATGAGATTGTAAAAGCTGCTAAATCTATGCTTGAAGATGAAGTCGGTCCTCTTGATGGGCCATCTGCGAGAACTGATCGTGGCATTGTTAGTCGGCTTCCTGTTGCAAGCGAGGTGCAAGAGCTTTGCACTTCTGCTATAAAAATGGCAGAGGACTGGTCAGCCAATGCAGCCAGAGGTTTGTGTTGGAGACGTTTTGGGTTTAGTTTTGGCAATGTCTTGTCTTAAAAGGATTGGCTTTTATTGTTTTATTGCAATGGCTTCTTGCATTAATTTGTTTTTTTTGCGCAGTTTCGATTCCTGCTGCTTGCAGGTTTCGTTTTGAAGATATTGCACCTACACAAGTGACTCTTCGTCTGATTGAGCTTCCTAGTGCTGAGGAATGTGATATTAAGGGATATAAGTTATGGTGGTTCAAGAAAGGAGAGACGCCAGAGGATGATCAGTTTGTTGAGCTGAGTAGAAACGATAGGAGGATGGTGATATCTGACCTCGAGCCTTGCACAGAGTATACATTCCGTGTTGTATCTTACACAGAAGCTGGTTTATTAGGCCATTCTAATGCTAGGTGCTTTACCAAGAGCGTTGAGTTATTGCAACAGAGTGGTGATAGCTCAGTGGATGGTAGGAAAAAGAGGAGAATTGATTTAGTAGAAAAGGATCAACCTTTGGATCGAGAGGATAAAAGTAGCGTTTCCTCGAGATTCAAGATCGGACAACTTGCAAAATATGTGCAGTTGGCTGAAGCTCAAGAGGAAGGCTTGCTTGACGCGTTCTATAATGTAGATACTGATAAAAGCAGTGAACCAGAAGAAGAATTGCCAGCTCGGCGACCACTTGGGTTTGATCTAAATATAGTTTCAGTGCCAGACTTGAATGAGGAATTCACTCCACCTGATTCTTCTGGAGGTGAAGACAATGGTGTGCCATTAGAATCACTTGCTGAGGCTGATGATCATAATAATGGTAATTATGATGACGATGAGGTAGATGATGATGATGATGATGCAGTGTCTAACGGTACACAGAAGAAGAACAACTGCTTGGTGAGATCAGATGGAAGCGGTGATGATCCCGAGTTTGATTTCCTCACGACCAGGAAGAGGAAAGCAAATTCAGACAGTCACGAGTCAGAGAACCACGAGTGTGACAGCTCGCCGATCGATGACACTATTGAGAAATGTGTGAAGGTGATCAGGTTGCTAGAGTGTGAAGGCCACATTGATAAAACGTTCAGGGTCAGGTTCTTGACATGGTTCAGCCTGAGCTCGTCCGCTCAGGAGCAATCGGTCGTGAGCACATTTGTGCAGACTCTAGAGGATGATCCAAGCAGCCTTGCTGGACAGCTTCTTGATGCATTCTCTGATGTTGTCTCCACCAAAAAGCAAAGCAATGGATTTTGCTGCAGCAAGCTCTTGGAGTAATAATAATAATCTCACTAATCAGCTATTATTCAACGATATTCTTTCTTAGTATTAGTATTTATGAATAATATGATTAGAACAACAAATAGTCCATGATTCCTCTAACATGGATTCGGATATTTTATGGTCATTTGGTGGACCACAGGATGACCCCATTGCAATCTCTTTGGATTGGATTTAGGATTTAGGATTTGACATAATAGACTCTTGAGGGCAAGTGTTTTGCCTTAATTCCTTGGTTTCTGTCCATATCTGTTAAATGAAGAGTTTATGAACTATTTGTTATGTTTTGTTGTCTTCCTTCCATAACCGGTTTGTTGTCTCTTTGCCATGGTTTAAAGGTCTTGATATGAGCCAATTAATTGTATAGTAGCCAAATAATCAAATACTGAATATAATTTGCTGCCAATTTGAGTTTTGCAAGACAAAGTGGGATTAAGCAGATGTTAATTTATATAAACAATGGTTGTACTAATAGGCTGAAGATTACTATGAAATAAAGTTGAGAGTATACAAAGACTTGTACCACTTAACTATTCCAATATCAAATATGAGTAAGCTCTACACATTAATCCTTAATCTCTGCAATGTAATTTAGAGTATCCAAGACTTCTTGCATCAATGGTCGTTTAATCTTGTCCCACTTGGTGCATCTTCTGATGAGTGTGCCCATCTGTGTCACCGCATTCATGGGACAATTATTCCCAAGTCGCGGATCGATTATTTCCCCAATCTTATGATCATCGGACAATAAAGATGTCCATACACATGCTCTTTTGGTAATCTCTTTTTTAACTGCAGATTTTGAACCAGTTAAAAGCGCAAGCAAGATCAGACCAAATGTGAAAACATCTGTCTTAGCTTCCACATAATCACCTACATACATTACATGATTAGTCCAAAACATTGAATAATGAAAAGATTAATCAGAATTTTTCCAAACAAAAGTTTAGATTTTGGTGTACGGTACCTTTGATCCATTCAGGAGAGTTGTATACATCTCCTCTTATGATTCGTTCATCATCATCCAAATATTGTTCGTTTGGTACAAGATAAAGCAATTTTGCATTGTTTTGCTGACGAAATATCCAAACTTAGGGTATTAAATTCTAAGATCATAGAACTAAAACAAAGTATGGAAATAAAAATCATTACCTCGTCAAGCATAATGTTATGCATTCTGAGTTCTTGATGTAGCGGGATGTTCTTGATCGAGTGGATAAACACAAGACCTCGAGCTATTCCAATGGCGATATTGACCCGTATTTCCCATGTCAATGCCTCTTCTTCTGTTGAGAGAAACATGAAACTATAAGTAAAAGCAAAATTGTCTTATATATACCGATTCTTGGAATGGACACATGAGAGATCTTAACTTCCGTAAATGTGACGGTCCAAACTTCCTTTGTGAAAGTATTCAAAAACCAAGAAGTTTGATTTGTTATCTTTACAACAGTAACCCAAAAGTTTGACCAAGTTAGGATGATAAATCTGTCCTAGAAACTTCACTTGTCCCTGCAAATCATAGGTTTTGTGCCCATCAGATACACAAGTGAGACAAAGACATATAAGGTTTTGCTACAACATATTACTTGCATAAAGTTGGACAGACTTTGCTTGATTACCTCACATTCATGTAGAGTGTGCGGTAAACTATCACAATCCATGACAGAAACAGCGGTTCCAGTGTCAGTTCTTGATAGAGTAAATGTGGTACGGTCTATGTAGCACTTGTAAAATGTCCGAACAGACCAACCGTGGTCAACTACGACCATGTTTCTTCTAAAATTCTTCGTTGCTTTCTTCAGTTCGGCGAAGCTGAAGACTCTCATGTTCTCGTTTTCTGTCTCAAAGTTAGGTATATAGATACTACATTATGTAAACAAAAACGTTAAAAAGTTGCATTTTAAAAACAGAGATGTACCTGAAACAGAGATGAGAGGCTCGTAAGCCGTTGAATGAGGTTGTTCTTTGAAAGACTTTAGAGAGTTTCCCATTGTTGATGGAGATTGATGATGAAATCTGTAGATTTTTTTTTTTGGTTTTAAAGAGGTTGAAAATGATTTTCAAGTGTACAAGAATCGTTGGGCTGCTTTTGGAATTCAACACTTGATCAGTTAATTGCTCACTTAGGCACAAACAAAGGAGAATAAGTAACCACAACACTGACTATGATTAGATCCTTTTAAGGCAAATTTGGGTAGGGAAATTAAGTCTAATAACCATACAAAACTTGACATTTCAAGAAATGACTATAAAGAAATTTGGCTGGAATATGGCGTGTATGAGGTGAAATCTATTCAAAAATACCATTGTGTGCATGTGGTTTCTTCTCATTTTTTCTTATTCTTTGTTTTTTCTTGTTAAATTTTCTCCACCGATTTGACTTGCTTTGAATGTAGATTGCGGAGCTCCATCAAATCAACTGTCCACAAGGACTTGTTAAAAAAATTTACAGCGAAATTTTATATCAACCTATCAACTCGTTGGCTTCTTAGTTGGAACTTGGAAACAACACAAATCTTTTATGCAATAAAAGAAGTTAATGAGACATTTAATTTCTACTTTTTGCTAAGTATGACATGTTTTTTCTTCCGATACTCATATTCCCTTCTTTTGTTGTTTTTAGGTTACTTAAATTCAATTGATGTACTGCTACGAGGTACTTCTCAAGCGAGTAAAGAAACAAGCCGAATGCATCACCAGTTTTAATCTTATAACAATTGGGTTTTGATACAACATAAATGTGAGTTTTAAAGGTTTATATTCACACCTTAAACAAAAGTAAGTAATATTAAACACATATTTACCCCAGATCATTTTTCTCTTTACATATTTTGATTCCTTCTTACTTTTTTGCAAAATTCACAATAATATTCTAAAGAAAATCACATGTCAAGAAACTATGTTTGTCTACAACACATAAAAACTTTACAAAGATTTCTACCCTGGTCCTCACGATTTAGCCTCATCTCTTTGTAGTATTTAGAGTATGGATGATTCAATGGAACATTGAACACGTGGTGCGCATGTGTATATACATACATTATTGTATTGTAGGATAAATGACGGTTAATGCGACATCATTTATGGCGGGGAAGGAGAGTAGGAACCGGCTTTTAAAGGCAAAAGGCAATTTGCTCTCTATCTCTCTCACTTTTCGATCATTTAATTGCTTGTTTCTATTTCTCTCTTTTTATTCTTTTTTTATGCTTTTTTTTTTGTTGCTAAAAACTCTTTCTAGTGTTACAAGGATTACAATTTCCTTTCACAAATTTTGGGGACCTTGCGTAAAGAGCTCACATCTTAGGAGGTAGGAAAAGTTCAGAGCTATTAAAATTCAAATATTTTGGGGCCATTTCCATTAAGTAATAATAAATTGTTCTTGTTTTTTTTTTCTCTCATATGAACTCTCTTTTTTTCTCTTTCCTATCTAATTAATTTACAAATATCAGTAGTTTTCAAAACTGATTGAGTTATTTATCTGTATGTAACTGCTAGAAAGTCAAAAACGTTTCTTCACTTTTGTTTGTTCGTTTTTGACCGAGACACTAGTTTAACATCAACTGATTTCGCATGTTGCTTTTAATTATTTATGATAATTGGATGTAAACTTTAAAACTGTGAAAAATAATTAGAACATCCATTACATCTATACAAGTAAAAAATTTGACATAATAAAAAGTTATTTGTTTAAGACTTGTTTTCTAACAACTTAACCCCTAAGTTTGGGATAAAATCCAAAGATAAAATATTCGATCTAGACTTAAGGTTTTGTAAGACCAAACCAGGAACATCATGTACTTATATTGCATGATGCACTGACTTTTTCACAGAAGATTCAATTTTCTTTATCAAAATCTTTGTAACCTATACTATTTCTTTTTTTTTTTCCCCTCAAAAATATTTGATATGGACTGCATGTTACGGTTTATAACGGTTATTAATAAATAAAATCTAGTGTGTGCCAACTGCCAAGTCATCGCCCAAATTCACGTTAGATAATGAAAACGATAACACAACACAAAGTGAAGTGTAATGTTCACAAGAAAAAAAAAACACAAAGTGAAGTGTGACAATTATGCCATCGAGATAAATTGATGGTTTGAAATGATGACACCGGGAATATATTGCAATTAGGATTTTTAAAAGTTTAGTTTTAGAAAGTTTAAAGTTTTTTCATATGTGATCAGTTTCTTCTTCTACTTCTCTCTGGAGTGGGTGGGAAAAGTAAATTACAATCTTCAAATCACTATATATAAAATATGGAGAATTAATGATGCGAAAAGATAATTTACTAATTAAATTGGGTAACGCAATTGAGTGGTGGAGAGGAAAGATTGGTCATGGACTTTAATTACTACACGACGAAACCCAACTTTTTGGCATGCGTTTCACTTGGCCTTTTGTAATTGTGCAAAACGAAATCATTATGTCACATACTCTCCCTTCTTAGCTAATTGAGAATAGTAGTCATGTTTTTAGATTTCTCTTTTTTTGATAAAGATATTCTTTTTATACTTTACCTCGCCTGTTTCTGAGAAGCATATGTGTGACACGGTTGATTAAGGTCGTCTCGAACTATTCGAAAGTCAAATGTAATATGTATATATAGTTTTAATCAAACAAATACCGTACATTTACGTTACTACATAATAACGTTGTTGTTTTTTTAGTTATCCTTTTATCAAACTCAAACGTATATATATATATATATATATATAGTTTTTAGTTACCAAGTTAAAATTGCTAACAGAAAACATTACCATCTTTTGTAAAATCCATACATGCACGCACAACAACTACAAATAAATTACCCGAATTAGAGTCAATAAATTGTAATATACTAAGAATTTTTCAATTTTTTAAAATCCTGAAATTGACGTAGGATAATAACCGGTCCAAATTTGGAAGAAGAAAAAGACAAGGTATGGACAAAACCAAACTTTTTGGGTCTGGTCCTCCAGATTCCTCATGTGCGGTTGTGTGCTTCTTGTCTTCTTTTTCTGACCAAAATATCTCTCAATTTTAGGCTCTGGACCAATTTAAGCCTCATCTACATTTGAGTAATTCGACTTTAGCAAAAATATTGCGACATAACATTCTCGGTTACAACAGTTTAGACGGTAAAGTTTTTTATTTGCTATCACTAGATTAGTGTTAGGTTGGACGCTTGTTCATTTGTTTGTTTTTGTTTGGGTATCTTTTCTTATTGCTAAATGTCAAAACGAATCAGATTGGCAAGCCCCCACTATTCCCAATGATTTCTTAGACGCGGTTCGATTTTTTTTTTTAATAAGAAAAATATTGTATTCATTTAATTTACTTTACCGAATATCGTTTATCCAAAAAATGATCGATATGATTCTGATAAACTTGGTATAAGTTTAGATCGATGGATAGTTAAATGGATTAATTCGTTATGTGAGTTTTGGTTTTTCACATGTGGACTAGGTGACAATTAGGGACGATTGGAAGATACTATTAAGCATTAAAAAAAACAATTAAAAATCACCTTTAAAAAAAATCTATTTGAGTGACTAATTTTAAGGCTTTGAGCTTAGCGAGTAATCCCCACTAACATGAAGATTTTTTTTATTTTGTTAATCCATCGTAAGTGTAGTAGATGGTTAGTGACTTAGTGTCTAAGGATGGGTTTGTTTAAAACGTAAATAAATATGAGTACAAAACTTATGCTAGCGACAAGATTTTGTTTCAAGAGAAGTCAAAAGTGTAGACATCTGGCACATAATTCCGACTAGACTGCGGCTCCTTCCACACAATTACGACTCATGGACAGATCTTATCACCTGGACCACCGTCCAAAGAGCATCCTCCCCATCGATTCTCCGGAAATTGGCGGCTCGGTCAGTGGTCTATCATATTTGAAAACAAAGAAACAATCTTGTTCACAATCAGCCAGTGATACTTCTTTCGCCCATCTTTCAAGAAATTGATCGAGATTTTCGCAATACAATCACGACTAGATGACATAGACGAAAGTTCTAAGATGTGTTGATACTTTGGATTGAATAAGGAAATCTTCCTTTCCTTACTCACACTTGTTCACTTGTTAATTTATTTTTCTTTCTTGGCAAGACTTCAAATTACTAGGTTAAGCTCTTTTGTAAAACCTCAACTTTCATTCCTATAATGATCCTTCTCTTTAGCAAAAAGAAAAAAAAGTCAAAAGTGTACAACTTATTATCATCTCCATTTTTATACAATATGTTATACCATTTTCCCGGTTGGTGGCAAGATTGACTCCACGCACAGCTACTAGTTTCGAAATAACAAATAAATTAATTCAATACATTAATATATTAGTGATATGTGTTTGACAAACTAAGGTGTTGATTGGTTCATCCGCTATCACTCGCAAACGCAGTGTTTGCGGTTGGTAGCGGTTAGTGGCGTTTTATCACAATCATAGAAATCGCTGCAAATCGTTTTGTATCGTTATATACCGCTGAATCCAAAAGCTGCTTCCCGCCAGCGTTTGCGGTTGCGGGCGGTAGTGGTGGGTAAAAAAAATAAAAAACAAATAAAATCACGCTAAAAAATAAAATAAAAAATCACATTAAAAATAATTATAAAACCATAATCCTAATAATCTTCTCCTATATGTATAAACCCTAACCTCTCAAGTTCTAGTCTCTAATCATGGCTTTCATATCAGTTGAAGAAAATTAAAATACAAGCATAAGTGTCATAAAACTTTGGTTTAATTCATTTATATTACTTGTTCTGTTTCCACTTTTAAAGTAAGAAATTATAAATATGTATCTTATTAATAACAAAATTAGTTTGTTATAATTTTTTTTTTGTTATTTAGAAAATTACATGATCAAACGAAATGACATGTGCGTTATTTCAACGAATTATCGTGGAAAAACAAACTCAAGATAAGTATCGTAGAGTGCACTCCAGAAAGAACGTATTTTGAAGAATACTAATAAACAATTTGGAGTTGATTTGAGTTGCGGTCGTGCAAAAAATCGATTAAAAAAAATTGAAGAAATTTTACATCATGCATAAGAAAAATCCAGAAAATCCACATATTGGAGCAAATTTTTTCTAGTCTATTACATTACTAGATACAATTTTGAGTGATGTTCCCAATAATTGAAATAAATATATTATTATGAAAATTATTAGTTTTTAAAATAATTATTTAGTATTTATTTATAATTTTTATTAATTATTTTGAACTAGTGATTTTGATATTAATCATAATAATATAGTTTTTCTGTTTTTTTTTTATAATTATATATGATGTTTATTTTGGCAATTTTATGTTTAACCGCTAAAACAACCGTTGATTTGCCAGTCAAAAATATCCGGCAAACGGATATGCCTTAAAAAATTTAACCAATCGTACAAACCGCTGAATAACGCTCAAAACCGTAATCACCCGCTTCCGCAAACTCCCGCACTCGCAACCGCAACCGCTGCGTTTAAACCAGTCAAGCCCTAAAAACGTTAACTTGTTAATATAGTCTCTTTTCATATTTAGTTTTCTTAAAGATTAAAACTCGATATATTTACAAGTCGCTTCTATTTCCATTTTTTTTTCTTCTTATATGTGTAGACCCTACGTAAGTTTCTGAAGGAGATAAACAAAACTGATATACAGTAAGATGATATTAATTTTGCATTATTGTCTATTAGAAAGCAAAAAGGTCATTTTAACATGTTCATATACTCACTTTTACTATGATTATCAAAGGATACATAATTTATTAGAATTAGGCAATTAGCCGTATCTGCTTCCATTTTATTAAGACATTAACTAGATGATTTGATCATTATATCTATTAAAATTTATGATTATGATAGTGTATTGCAATCATGTCTACACGGCTTAATAGTTAATGCATTTACACGTACAAACAAAAGTAGTTTATGTAAGCTTATTTTCAGTCCAAATAACTATACCTTTTTAATACCAAAAAGTAAAGATTCGTTTTCATGTGTATTTATTTATGATTAATAATTGTTTATCCACTTATAAGATGCTATGTAGATGGACAATGAATACAAATACAGCCATTGTTGAAAAGGCCATAAATGTTTGGATGTATCAAATGCGAGCCTAATAAAATCGGTGGTTGGATATCAATTAAGAACCACAGACTTAGTCCACCTCTCTTCGCCCTTTATATAAACGCACACAAGTTACCAAAGCGCTTGTCTCATCTCTAAAAACACTCTAATAGTTAAACATGGTGGTTAACCAGAACATATCCGGTCTTGCAGCTGCTATGAACGCCAAGATCGTCGGGTCTGGTGAGAGGTCGATGGTCTTGGCACACGGGTTTGGAGGCGATCAGTCGGTTTGGGACAAGATAATACCGGTTTTGTCCCAGTCTTTTAGAGTTTTGGTCTTTGACTGGCTTTTCTCTGGAGCTATCAAAGACCAAACTCTTTACGACCCTTCAAAGTATAACTCCTTGGACGCCTTCTCTGACGATCTTATTGCTCTTATGGAGGAGCTGAAGTTTGGCCCTGTTGTGTTCGTAGGCCATTCCATGTCGGGCATGATCGGTTGTGCTGCTTCTGTTAAAAGGCCCGACTTGTTTACAAATCTTCTCCTTGTCGCTGCTTCTCCCAGGTAAGCTCACTTTTAAATACCACTAGTAAATACTACTTCCCCATAGTTAAAATTAGAAGTAAAACAAATGGTTGTAGTCTCTAGAAGCAAGAAAATCGTAGAAAACAGAATATATATATATATATATGTAAGTGTATTCTAGTTCTGTGGATATAAATATCATTTAATTAGGTCTATATATTGGATACAATTCTTCTCAAAAGGTAGATATGCTGCGTATGTATCTGTAAATCAGTAAATGAGTGAAGACAGATAATAATTAACAATTATAATTTACGTTCGAAAGAGAATTATAAGCACATGCAATAAAAATTTAAAAGGTAATACGTACCATCTCATCGATGATATCGATCGTACAATATTCCACATGCAATCAATTTTTTTTCCTTCATTCAAAATAAAATATTCCTTATGAATACGGGTTTCATGAAAGAAGACGAAAAAATTATGCTTTACGATAATATACTTTATTAGCCGATAATTATTGGACTTTATGTGGATAGTGTTTGCATATTGCATATAATGAAGTGTAACTGTTACCAAGTGTTAAACATGTGGTCATGATCAGCTTCTAGCTTGTTGGATGGATATGACATATGATCATATCTTGTCTTCTTTCCCTGCAGCCTATATATGCATGCTATATAGTCATGTACTCATATCTATGTATTGTAGATTCATTTAAAGAAAGTAATAACATATAAGATAAGAGAGTAGATATGTGCATATATATATATATATATATATGATGTGGACCACTTAGCTTTCCAACAGTTACTGTCCGATACTACATAGAAAATTATTGAATAAGAGTCAATTATGTGATTTTTTTATAATGAAAATCTTTAGACAATCTTTTTTTTTTAAAATAGATTGTGTGTCATCATCCTTACGTATATGGCTATCTTTTCGTTCCAATTTTATCAAATATATCTCCAAAAGGACAAATTATTCAGTGATGAAATTAGATATATTTATTATAGTTATAGGTGAGAAAGTCGGCCATAATTTAATGCAACCGTTGGGAATGTTTGACTATATATATCTCTAATGCAATGTACTTATATATATATATATATATATATGTCTAATGCAATGTACTTATTATGTAAAAACAAAACTTAATGAGATGATCAAATATAGTAATGTTGTTAATATAGATTGAAACGTAAATATATAGGTATATAAACAGTGAAGATTACAAAGGAGGGTTTGAGTCAAAAGATATTGACGCGATCATCACCAACATTGGTTCAAACTACGAGGCTTGGGCTGTTGCTTTCTCCTCCGTAGTGGTTGACTCGAGAGACTCTCTCTCGGTTCAAAGATTCGAGAAGTGCCTTAAGAAGATGAATCCTGAGACGGCTCTTGCCTTAGCTAAGATAGTGTTTGGCAGCGACGAGAGAGAGCTATTGGGGCAAGTGTCAGTGCCTTGCCATGTCATACAGCCAGGAAACGACGTCGTTGTACCTGTCTCCGTCGCTTACTTCATGCAGGAGAAGATCAAAGGGAAATCAACGGTGGAGATCATGGAGGACGCGATAGGGCATTTCCCACAAATGACGTCTCATATGGAGCTGCTTGGCGTCATGAGGCGCCTCCTCGAGTTTTGAGGTAAAAAGAAAAGAGAGCTTTGCGTTCGTTCCATCGATCGATATTCTTCTTGTCTATAGACTATAATAGTGTATTACTAATATAATGGAGTTCCATTATATTAGTATTCATATATATGTTTGTGTAATGTCAATGTCCTTTCCATTATTAGTTGAAAAGATAAATGGAGTGAAAGTGGTAGGTTTGTATACTATCATCGATAATTTAAAACCTTATAGTTAACTTGTATTGCCAATATAACCGAACAAGAAACTGAATGCCCGTTAATTCAATGTAAATCATCTACTATTTTTAAGGGGGAAATTGACTAGAATAATCTTAATTTTAATTATAATTACTAGACTAATCCATGAAAAGTATAGGTTTGTAGTAAATTTAGTACCTAAATTGCTCTAAAAAACCTGTTATAACAAAAACAATATTATAAAATTGCCATTACTATTTAATTTTCACATCAGCAAAATTGTCCATTTAATTATTATTTAATTAATTGTGGCTATTTTTATATCTGATTTTGACAAGCTTGTCCACTAAAAACATTTTTATTTTGGTTGGCCTCTTCCTAAACCAGTTCTCAGTTTTAGAAAGCCCCAAACTAAAAAAAGAGTTTTGAACTCATTACCTTTTGAAAGAAATTTTTCATAGTTCTACAACTAGACTAACAACATTGTTTCAAATTTAAGGGCCAACATTTTTATTTTTAAAAAGGGGCCGCAAACACGAAATTGCTTTGCTTGGACTCAAAATCGGCTCTGCTACTGTAAGACACTAGAAAAAACAAAAAAAACTAATGACCAACATCGATTGTTCCTTTAGTTATGCTCTAAAATCAAATACTAAATCCCAACCATTGGGACAATAACTATAAACCAGAAAAGAGAAATTACCCTTGTTACCAAAAAAGAAAGAAAGAAAGTAGAAACTAGTCTTGGGCCTTCGGGTCCGTGGTTCAGGTCGGGTCGGGTATTTCATGTATCAGGTTATTCGGGTCTGAACGAATTAGGCCCATTTGGTTATTTTGTAAATTTTGGTTTGGTTCGATTCTTTTCGGATTCGGGTTCGATTTCGTCTTAAAAAAACTGAATTGGACCCGAAACTTTTTGGATTTAAAAAAAAAACCCGAATAAGACCCGAATAGATCCGAATAGACCCGAGGACCCAATAATATTGCACCTAATATGAAACTTTCGCTATGTAAAAAGTTAAAAACAAACAAACACTTTGAATAATCCGAAATATAACAATAAAACTTCAAATAAAAGTGTTCAACAACAACAAAGCCAATATTCAAACTTAGTCCTCCAAAAGAAGCTAACAACAACAAAATCATCCAAAACATTACCATGTTCCAAAATCTATCCAAAAGCATTTCCAAAGACAAGTTACAAAGTCTAAATGAACACAAAGAACACAAACAAAAAGAAGATCAGTGTCTCACTGTGTTATCTCAGACTCTCAGTCTCTTCATTCCGTGTAAGTGGTCTAATGTCTACCACTTGTGCTGCGAAAAACGAATAGGATTAAGTCTCACACTCTCACTCACATATAAGAAAAGTAACAACTAGCAAACCAATCATAAGTAATCGAATAGGATTATAGTCTCATACCTTATTGCAGATGAAAAATCAGTCTTCTTTTTCACCACCATCTTCGAACTCTAAAAAAAAGAGTAATGAAGCAAATGTAATTTTGTTTTTTTTTATTAGAGTTCGACCAACTGAAAAAGACTTGAATGAATGTAATGTTTACCTCTCTGTAGTTTGTCTTCATATTCAGTCTCAGCAAGCAATTGCTCATTCGTAACAGCAACTCCCTTCTCATTGAAATGCATCTCAGTCTTCATCCATTGCTGGGTCAACATTATAATTTCTATCATATAATGTGTTAAGAAACTTCTAGAAGGACTTAATATCCGGTTGCTTGTGCTGAAAGCAGACTCTGAAGCAACAGAAGTAACCTGCATTGCTAGAACATCTCTTGCAATCTCAAATAATACAGGATATTTTTGGCGGTTGAGACTCCACCAACCCAACACATTATACTCTACACCACCCATAGTTGTCTTTGGATTCTCGCTTCTCTCCTTCAGATACAAGTCTAACTCGTTACTTGCATCTTGAAACTCAATTTCACGTGCCATCTCTTTGTATAAAGAGTCCATTCTTTCATATCCCAACTCTGACTGTAAGTCGAAATCACCAGCTACCAGCTTTTGAGAATATTGTGCATTGTGATTCTGAGTCTAAGATAATGATGCTACAGACTGAGAAGATGAGGGGTTCACAACTGGGATCTGAGCAGCGCTGTACTCATCAAATAACTCATTCAGAATATTTACAACTGAGTCATGAAGTATTCTAGCTTCAACACTGTCTTTCCCGTGAAGCATATCAAAACACATATCCGCAAACTTCATCTTGTTCCTTGGATCCGAAATACTAGCAACAATCAACAGCAAATTGATTTTCTTGGTTCCACCCCAATACTTATCGAATTTTTCCCTCATTGCTCTGGCTTTTCTCATCAGCCCCTTATCACCCTCATTGCTAAGCTTAATGAAGTTTCTTTCAATCGTTACAATTTTGTTGTAACACTTGTAAGAGTTGACAGAAGTCGAAGCTGATACCACTAGAGTAAACTTGTAAAAAATGATAAGAAACCTTACTAACCTTGCCACAGAATCCCAATCATCTGCTGTAGGCGGTCCAATCCTTTTCGTTCCATCAACCTTTTCTTGAAAATAATCAGTGTACAACTTGTCTTCTTCAGCCATCTGCATGAAGGCAGACTTGAACTTAAGAGCTGTCAAAAGCATCAGATATGTGTAGTTCCATTTGGTTTTGCAGTCCAGAGTTAAACTCCCCCTTGTCATCCTCCGTGACTTAACTCGAAGATCAAAAGTGTTCACTTTATTCGTCAAAGCTCTTACATAACTGACACTATTACGAATTGCAGTCACGACAGCATCCATTTCACCTAAACTATCCCTTACTACTAGGTTGATAATATGAGCAGAGCATCGAAGATGCATATACTCACCTCCTAAAACCATCTTACCTCCTCCCCGAACGAATGCCTCCCTGAACCTCCTCAAAGCTGACGTATTTGCAGTTGCATTGTCCACCGTAATGGTGAACATCTTGTTTATACACCATTCAGCTAAAACCTCAATCAGAACAGCACTTATCGTTTTCACATTATGGTCTGTGACAGGCCTTAACCTATAATTATCTTCCTCAACTTCCAATATTCATCGATGAAATGTGCAGTAATCACCATATATGAAGATGATGTCGTTGGAGGAACCCAGATGTCTGTTGTCAAGGAGATCATTTGCTTATTAGCCTTTAAGATCTGCATCATCGCTGATTTCCTCTTGACAAAAATCTCCACGATGTCACGAGTAGCTTGTCTTCGAGAATGTGGTTTAGGGAGCTTCATCCTTGCACAGAAATGTCTAAAAGACAAACTCTCTACAAACGCTAAAGGCAGCTCACCCAAACCATCATCTCATTACAAGCTTCACAGAAAACTTTCTTGGAAACATTCGATAACTTGAGCTCACCTTCGTTACCTTCCTAATTTAGAGTGTGCTGGGATTGAGCTTTGGTCGCACTCCATGACGCGTATGCCTTGCAACACAATAAATGTTTCTTCAAGCTTGTTGTCCTGGATGTTGTCTTACATCCCATCTCTTTCCTACAGTGGTTGCAAGTGCACTTATTCACTTCGCGAGGTTCAGTTCTTGTGTAGTGTTGCCAGACGAACGACGTTGGCGTCGTGTTACACCTCTTCTCCGCCAGTGTAGCTTTCCTCTTCTTACTTCCACACGCGGATGCAGGTGCATGAGCAGCAGTCTCGAATTCCTCTCCTCTATCTTCTGGTTTGTAATCACTCGGGTGAGGTGATGAAGAACCCATCTGCAAAATCAACTCGATGAAGCTGTGTCGGTACTCGGTCTCGGTCCTTATCGGGTTATCCCCAAATCAAAAGAAAAAAGAGAAACCTAGGCCTAGAAGAAGATTCAACAACCCACTACTGCGAATAATTCCTGGATGATGCTGTGTCGGGATTTCGATTCCGAAGAGATGGTGTTGGTGACTAGAGGTGGAGGCGTCGATGTCGTTCTAGGTCTTCCAGCTTGAATCTATTTACAAGAAAAAATAAAACAAATAAGGTAAAGTGAGAGAGAAAAATCGAAATGTTTTTATAAGGTCGAGTCTATTTGAGGATTTCATAACCAAAAAATGAAATAATCACACAATTAACATATAACTAACTAAACTTTATGTTCTAAATCTATATTATTAATCTCTAATGTTATTTTTTTTGCAGGTTATTCGGGTACCCAAATGAATATCGGGTTTTACTCGAACTGTTCCAAGACCCGACATATATTTGCATAAGAACCAATTGGGTAATTTGGCTGAACTGAATCTGAATCGAACCTTGATTTCTGGTTCGAGTCTTCTCGGGTCGGTTTTTAAGCCCAAAACTAGTAGAAACTAAGGGTAGCAAAGGAAAAAATATGTACTATGGGCCAAACGACATTTTAGTGGACATTCAACCAATCCTAAGAGTATTTTGGTGTTTCAAACACAGTTACTAAGTGCATGTACTGATGTACATTTACCTTCGCAAGCTTGATGTAAAAAACAATATAATTTATGCTATGTTACGAATATTATAGCCAAATAGAAGTAGAAACAATTTGACATTGAAAAAAAGAAGAGTTTTTAATTTTTTGACTAAACCAAATTTGACAAATTCTAATTGCAATTACGCCGTTGACTTCTGGGTTTTTTCTCATTAGATTACGTGTGTCGTGGGGTTGTTGTAAGATTTCAAAGTTCAAACTACATATATAGAATAGAATGATAGGACAACGACCTGATACGATAATAATTATTTACATAAACTTGTATTACCTTTTGGAAATCTGACCAACTCCCATTGATATATAAGTTGGCCTGTTATTAAGAATCTTGATTGAATATGATTAACAAAATACTTTTATTGCCTATTTCAGTTTTACTGAATTAATTTTTGGTGTACTTGATGTTAGATAATACTAAAAACCTAGAGTAACTGTCAATCTAATAGGTGATCTTGAATTTGTGCGTGTACACTCCTGTAATTTGTTTCACTTTGGATCTAGAATAATCCCCAACTATTTTCCATAAATACAAAAGTAATATTACGCATTCTCCTCAATGAAATTAAATATTACAACAATAAATGTTGAGCAGTTTGTGGATAATTTTTAGACCAAGGACTTTTTAAAATAAAACTAAGAGCATAAAGAGTGAATAATTTTTGTTTTTTTCTTCAAATTATCGTCTGGCTTCAAAATAACCAAATTCAGATAGAAATAATCAAAACTCAACTAAATCTTTTCCCGCTCTTTAATTGTGGGGAGAGATGTCATCGGCACCGTCTCCGGGTGCTACTCCGTCATCTCCGCCGCCGTTTACCGCCATCCCTCCTTCATTTCCCCTGACGCCTCCTCCTCCGCCGACGGCCATTCCTCCATCAGCTCCCTTGACGCCTCCTCCGCCGCCGACGGCCCTTCCTCCTTCACCTTCCGTGACGCCTCCTCCTCCACCACCGCCTATGGCCATTCCTCCTTCACCTGCCTTGACGCCCTCTCCTCCTCCACCGACGGTTATCCCTCCTCCACCTCCCGTGACGCCTTCTCCTCCGCCGCCGTCTACAGCTGTTCCTCCTTCAGCTCCTGTGACCCCTCCTCCTCCACCAACGGTCATCCCTCCTTCACCTCCCTTGACACCTTCTCCTCCACCGCCTTCCACTAATTTAACGTCTCCGCCTCCGCCTTCTCCATTGACTCCTTCTCCTCCAGCGCCGTCCACTGATTTGACGTCTCCGCCTCCACCTCTGTCTTCTCCCTTGACTCCTTCTCCTCCACCGCCGTCTCCCGCCACTCCTTTAACTCCCTTGACGCCGCCTCCTCCACCGCCGTCTCCCGCCACTCCTTCAACACCACCGCGATCTTCACCATCTCGGCCGCCTCCCTCCACACCACCTCCGCCTCCGCCGGCAACTCGGAGCCCTCCACCTCCTCCTCCCAGTCCCTCAGGCGGGGGATCTCCTAGAACTCCATCTATCACACCAGGCTTTTCTCCTTCGCCGCCGCCTTCTTCCTCCGGTGGACTATCAACGGGAGTGGTGGTCGGGATCGCATTAGGAGGAGTCATTGTCCTTGTGGTATTGACTTTAATTTGTTTCTTGTGTAAGAAGAAACGACGAAGAGACGATGATGAAGCACGTCCTGCTCCCAATGGTAAAACTTTAATATCTTGATTAGTCTAAACCAAGAAACCAAAAATCTTGAACTATCTTGTTCCTCATTTATATAATCAAGAAACCAAATCTTGAACTATATTGTTCCTCATTTCTATAATCAAGAAATCAAATCTTGATCTATATTCTTCCTCACTTCTATAATCAAGAAATCAAATCTTGAACTAGTGTATATTGTTTCTCATTTTTATAACTTATCTACATTTTTCTGATTCTTAGTTCTATATATATATATATATATATATGAATATACATTTGCGGAGAATTATATTTCATTCTTTTGGCATCTTCAAACTTGTATATGAATCAATACAGAAACCGTTTTTCAGATTTCATGTTCCTGTGTTTATCAGCTAGAGGCCCTTACGGTGGACAGCATCAACAAAATGCATCGCAGCAACCGTTAGATCACGTGGTGACGTCACTTCCACCCCCTGCGCCACCACGTCAGGCGGCTTTCATGAGCAACAGCAGCAGCAGCGGCGGCTACGACTCAAACTACTCAGATCAGTTGGTTCTGCCTCAACCATCTCCAGGGCTTGCATTAGGCATATATCAAGGAACTTTCACATACGAGGAGCTATCTAGAGCCACCAATGGATTCTCTGAGTCCAATTGGTTAGGACAAGGCGGGTTTGGTTATGTGTACAGAGGTATATTGCGTAATGGAAAAGAAATCGCTGTGAAAAAGTTGAAAGCAGGGAGTGCTCAGGGAGAGCGAGAGTTTCAGGCAGAGGTAGGGATCATTAGCCGAGTTCACCACAGACATTTGGTTGCTCTTGTCGGTTATTGCATCGCCGATGCTCAAAGATTGCTTGTCTATGAGTTTGTTCCAAACAACAATCTCGAGTTTCACCTCCATGGTTAGACAAAAACTAAAACCTCTTCTATGGATTATTACATGCTTTGTTGTTTTCAATTTAGTGATGAATTTGGGACAGGGAAAGGACGGCCTCCGATGGAATGGAGCTCGAGATTGAAGATTGCTCTTGGATCTGCCAAAGGATTGTCTTATCTTCATGAAAATTGTAAGTCTTTTTTAAGATATGAAAAATATGTAAAGCTGTTTAATAAATATTTGTTATGTTTGTTTATATGATGCACTATATATTTGTAGGCAATCCTAAAATCATTCACCGTGATATCAAGGCGGCAAACATATTGATTGATTTCAAGTTTGAAGCAAAGGTATGATTTATCTTCATTTTTTTAAGGTTTGCATTAAGGCATTATATGGCATCTTTGTATTTTGTGTCACTAAAGCTCTCTTCTATCTTTTAGGTTGCTGATTTTGGTCTTGCCAAGATTGCTTTGGATACAAACACTCATGTATCGACACGCGTGATGGGAACCTTTGGGTATAAGATAATTTTGAAGCTAAATAATATGTAGACTTATGTTGTTAGAAAGATGCATTATATAGTTTTCTGCCAAACCCGCTGGCAAAAATCCGCTCGCAATATCATACTTCGATCAATAGAATTCTTTCCGGCCGGTTCCTAAACTTAAAATTTATCAAACAAAAAAAAATGATATGTATAATAATATTGTTTGCAAAGTGTATATGAATCCTTAGCATTAGTCTTTGATTTTAGGTACTTGGCTCCGGAATATGCTGCAACCGGAAAACTCACAGAGAAGTCGGACGTTTTCTCATTTGGAGTTGTACTTTTGGAGCTAATAACCGGACGTCGCCCTTTTGATGCAAACAATGCCTATGCAGATAACAGCTTGGTTGATTGGGTAAGTAATATAATCGCAAACAAGATTTGTTTTCAAAACAATTTGAAAGTTAATTAAAGCAAATATATGTGTGAATAATTGGAACAGGCACGACCATTGCTTATGCAAGCACTTGAGGAAAGCAACTTTGAAGGTTTGGTTGATACAAAGCTGAACAATGAGTATGATAGAGAAGAGATGGCTCGCATGGTTGCTTGTGCTGCTGCTTGTGTTCGCCATACAGCTCGCCGTAGACCTCGCATGGACCAGGTAATTTGATATTTCTTTTCTAAGAGGTGTGCATGTGGTTTCTTTTGCTTCACTTTTCTTTTAACTTTGCCAGATGTTAGTCATTTAAAATGTTAATAATGGTTGATTGGTCTACAAAACGAGCAGGTTGCGCGTGTGCTAGAAGGAAACATATCGCCATCAGATCTTAACCAAGGGATCAGACCAGGTGATAGCAATGTGTACAGCTCGTATGGAGGAAGCACTGATTATGATTCGAGCCAAGACAATGATGGCATGAACAAGTTTAGGAAAATGTCGACACTTGGGACACAAGAAGAGTTTGGTGCGAGCAGCGAGTACAGTAATGCAACCAGTGAGTATGATTTGTACTCGACTGGTTGGAGCACTGAGGGTCAGAGTCGTCAGACCACACGGGAAATGGAGACTGGCAATGTTAAAAGAACCGGTCAGGGTCATGGTGGACACTTAGACCATGATTATCAAAGAAATTGAGATAGGTTTCTTCTAATAAAAAAATCAGTTTTAATCAAAAAAGTAGATTAAATGAGAATGATATTCCTATATAAGGATTGGAAGGAGCGATGGGGCTGACGTGCTGATGTGGCGCCTTCTTATTAGATAGAAGTTACTTTTGGGTTTTGATGTTTTTTTTTTATTTTTATTCTCTCAACTTTATTAATATAATAATTATTAAGAAATTTCAATGGATTTCTTTCATAAACATGCTCTTACACTCTCTTTAAAAAACTAGAGTGGAGAAATTGCATGGTTTTTTGAATTCTTTTTTTTTTCTTTAGATGTAAAGATTTTTGGTACTTGGAATTTACTTTGACGAACCTTATACTTGGAGCTATTAAAAAGAAGAAAAAAAACTAATGATAAATCATATTTCCTAACAATCAACTTATATATTTTATAGTTCAATTTCAAGATCAATTCATCCATTCTTTCAAATATCTAGATTTCTAAATAGTTTCTGAAACACTTATAGACCCAAGATGTCTATATAAGTGAAGTTGTGAGAAGCTGCCAAAAGGGTTTCTTTTGGTTTCTGAGTCCTACTCGAACATTCTTGGGAGAGGTCTCACAGTCATGAATGCATCCACCATCTGTGAAATTTTTAGTTTGTCAAATTCCTTAAAAACAGAAATTTAAATCTTGATAGTTTGAGAATTAACGAGTTTTTACCTCATCGGTAACAGCAGCTCGAGCCCTGCGGTGTCTCTCGACTATCTCTGTCAACACTTCAGCGAGTCGCGCCTTTACGGCTCCGGTTAGCATACTTCCTTCTTTATACTCCTGAAATATGTATTACAACATTCAGAAAAGTAAGATATGGCACATTCAATAACAAAACTTATTGAAATGGGTATTTCTAATTTGTTCAAGCTCAGCATCATCTTCGAGGAAGAAACTCAAATACTTGAATGATACGTCTACCTGTGATATAGTAGAAAGGAATTTACAAGAAAAAGAGTTAGGTTTACACTATAACACCAAGAACCGATAGGATCAAGAATCAAGAAAACAGTTTTGCAAGAATCCTGCTATTGATACGAAGTGGCTACTTAGTCAATTAGTAAACAGTAAAGTCCAGGAATTTGGTACCTCAAGATTTGCTCCGACACCTTCTTGCTTCTTCGAGGAGTCTTGACCACCACTAAACGCACGTTTCTTTATCTGCATATGGAACCGCATCAAGATTACATATTGGAAGCAATGATCTGATTTCATTATTAGCGTGGATAGCACAACAACTTCAAAATTACAGAATTCACCTTGTATTTAATGTCTTCCGCGGAATCAGTCACATATATTGCGGAATTCGGGTTACTAGCAGACATTTTTCCATTCTCTCCCTGCGAAAAAGTGACTAAGGCGTTCAATAGTTTAAAAGCAAAGAAAGTGTAGTGTAGAAGGCGTGAGTACATATCTATAACTTGCAATAAACTAGTTAAGAAAATACTTGCCTGAAGATCAGGAAAGAATGATGACTCAATTAGAGCTGGCTTGCGATAGCCTAACCGAGGTGCAACGTCACGAGTCATTCTAAAATAAGGATCCTGAACAAAAACCAAAACGCAAAAGATTAGTTGTAATATATAAATACAAAAGCAGCACAACATAATGATAAACAAATAACACAAAGAGACTAAATTTGGATGAGTGTGTTCCAAGCAGGTTAAGATATATAGTAAGAAAACAGCACACCTGGTCAATTGCACAAGGAATCAAGCAACGGAGATTGTTCATGCCAGGAAACAAATGTGGAAATGAGCTTGGAAAAGATGGAGCTGCCTGCACCGGAGGGAAACCGATTTTTGCGATACAATCTTGGCCGGAAAAGCCAAAGATTCCGGTAGACTAGCAACGAAAAAGAGATAAGAAAATGAAAACCAGGTACTCAAAGGAGCTATTCAATTCAAGGAGATAGAGAGTTAAAGTCACCTTATTAAGTGTAACACACTTTCCAACCTTCACCATATTTTCATAGAAAGCACTACACACACACACACACAAACAAAAAACATATAAAGAAATCTTCACCAAAGCAAACAGAACGTTGAGCTATATGCACAATGGATTCGAAAATGTGACTTTACCCTCCAACATAGTCGAAATCCGAGAAAATGAAGGTCTTTGTTACATCGAATCCACAAGCAATTATATCTTTCGCATTTTCCCTTGCAAGTCTTTTACTTTCCTTCACTGATATGTTCTTCCATATGCATTTCTCATCATCCGTGAGCTGTATAACAAGAGGAACCTTGAAAGCTTCTTGCAAGTATCTACAAGCATAAAGAAACAAGTAAGAACCATCCCTGCATTGACTACTTTAAAATAAAAAAGCTTCAAAGATCTAACTTACTTGGTAAACATGAAAGGAATCAAATGCCCCAAATGCAGAGCTTCTGATGAAGGCCCTCTTCCAGTGTAGAGATAGAACTTGTCTCCTCTCTCATACGCGTCCAAGATCTCATTGAAATCCCTGTGAGCGAAGAAGACACCACGGCGGAGGAACACGTGTGGCTGACGAGAAGTCAGTCTTTGAACACGATCAATCATTGACACGTCGAGCCTTTGGCAGCCAAACTTGTCTATAAGCCTGTCGTAATCGATCTTCCCTGATACTTCCCATGGATTCACCACTTGCTCAAAAGATTCAGAGCCTTTGTTGAGTAAACCTTTCTGCTTAAGTTCAGCTTCTTTGGAATAAGCCGAAGCGACAACTTCTTTCACGGTAAGTGTCTCTTTCTCTTGGAGAGTGTGAACCAATGGTTCATAAGCTGCTGGAAGTCCTGACAAGAGTTGAATGGCCTGATCTTCATCCGAGATGGTAACCTTGAGACTGTCCAAATCTGAAATGAGCTTCAAGAAGATGTCAACATTTTCTTCTATCGTCTTGGCCTCTTCCATCTTGTAGCAAGATAATTTCTTCTTCAAGGAGATTCTGTTGGGAAGAGACATGGAAGATTCAGACTCCTGCTCATCCTTCTTTTCCACAGCCATCGCGACCGCTTACTTCAAGCAGATTCCTTGCTGTGGGATGTATAATGGAATCAGCTGATTCAACGCTACAAAAACCTTGAGTTTTGAAGATTAGCCTACGAGCAAGAGAAGCTGCCATTGAAAGCATCAAACTTTGTGAACACGAAGATACAATAAACTCCACAGACAAGAAGAAGCATCAAGACCTCTCCATGTCTTTACAAGTCGATGCCAAGCTAGCTTGATCACGATAATTCAAACAGGTAAACAACTGAAGCATTGTGTCATAAGGCCTACTAGTCCAATCAACAAAAACATCAAGATCAGGAGCTACTAAACAATTAAAAAGTTCTAAACTCTAAACTCTAAAATCTGAATTCTAAAACATAAAATCATGAACGACTTTTAGTTTGGTTAGGATTGGTTCCGTTCGGGTTTAAAAAATTTAAACAATTAAAAAGTTCTACACTCTAAACTCTAAAATCTAAATTCTAACATATAAACTCATGAACGACTTTTACAAATTGGAAGTTACTTTTAATCAGTTTGTGGATCAAATATCAAACAAATAGATTATATACTCAATATTAAAAATAGAAAGATATATAAAAAAACATTTGTATGTAATTATGTATAGATAGCTTGGATCACAAGTTTGTGGAAATCATGATCTAGAGAGAAGAACAATATAGAACAGAGAGTTGGAGAGATGAAACCGAAAGTTGGAGCCCAAGATTATGGAGTAATGATACCTGGAATCACGCTATGATGTGTAGCTAGAGTCGGCTTAACTGAAAATGGTGGCGTTAGCCGTTAGGTTTTGGTCACGACTCACGAGAGACGTAGAGCCACCTTAGAAACGTACGTAGAACTGTAGAAGTGTAATCGAGTATACTTTTGACGGCACTAAAGAACAATTACTAAACATACAACCCTAAATTTTGTTATGGAATTTAATTGTGGTTATCCAATCGAATAATTTGGTTTTCGGTAAATATACCAAACCGAACCAAAAACCGAATTAGCCTCATGTATATGTCCATTTGGTTTATTCAGGTTATCCAAACCCGAATCAAATTACATTATTCGGTTTGGTTCGGGACGGTTCGGTTCGGTTCGGGAAACCAAGACACAGAAACAAAAAGTCCAAAACTTTGAAAGTCCCAAATTTTCACAATTTAGATACTTGGATGGGCGCGGGCGCGGACGCGGACGCGGAACGGATATCATCAATTTTGGATATCCGTGAGCCGTAGGATAATTATTTTTTCTGATCCGTATCCACTTCGTAATTATCCGGATATTCGTTTTTCGAATATCGCCAAAAATCTGAATATTTACCGATATCTGATCTACTCATAAAAATATTTAAATAATAATATATTTAAAAAAGTTAAAAAATTCAAATTTAGCTAAAAATGACAATATTTTCTTTAAAAAAATATTTTTTTTCTTAACTTATTAAATTTTAATATTTATAATAATCAAATTTATAAACAAAAACTCACAAAATTACATTTATATATAATAGTTATACTTTATATGAATTATTATCTATATATATATATATTTATACCGGAACAGATATCCATCTTATTTTTTTAGTATTTGTGATTTGCTCCGTTTTTAACGGATATTGAATTTTAGTATTTGTTTTACTCCATAAAATTATGAATATCCAGATTTTCCGGATCGAATCGAGATGAATAACAAATCAAAGCAGATATAACAGATATTTTGTCCAATCCTATTTGGATGGCAGTGGCAGTGTGGCACGGAAGACTTTTTCAAATCAATGACGTATTGCACAATATGATTGGATAAAAAGCAACTTCAAGAGCTCGACACAAAACCTCGATAGAAAATGAGGATTAAAGAAGACACAGACACAACAAAGACACTCACAATTAAATAGAGATAGAGATAGAGGTAGGTCAATTACTTTGTACCAGAGGATTATTAGCTGCAGCACAGGAGAACCTTCTTAAGCTAATTAAGCCGCTAAGGGATGATTAATTTACCCTTAGCCCTAGGAATTGATGATGGTATTAGCTGCAGCACAGGAGAACCACTCGGAATTGATTATTAATCAAAAGTTAATTAGGGATTGTTAATTATATAGTCCTTGAACTTAGGCATGGGCATTCGGATATTCGGTTCGGTTTCGGTTCGGAACCAGTCGGTTCCGGATATTTTGGGTAGAAGAAGTTAGGATCTATTGGGTATTTTTATAAATTTCGGTTCGGGTTCGGTACCTTTATTTCGGTTCGATTCCGGTTCGGATAATCGGATCCGGATCTTTTGCCTCAAATTTTTAATTCGACTCACACTTTTTTAATAACAAAAATTCAAAAATATATATATCAAAACTTAAAAATATACCCAAAAGTCTCAAAAATAAAGAAAATATATCTGTAAAACCAGAAATATATACCAAATATCAAAAATATCAAAAAAAAACTAATATTTAGAAGGATATATAATTATACTTTGAATAATTCGGGTACCTAATCGGTTCTCGGTTCGGTACTAGTTCGGTTCCGGTTCTTCGGGTATAAGAGTTTAAGATCCATCGGATATTTTTAAAAATTTCGATTCGGATTTGGTACCTCTATTTCGGTTCGGTTCCGGTTCGGATATTCGGATCCAGATTTTTTGCCCAGGACTACTTGAACTCGTGCAAATTAATTATTATATAATTATATACTTTAGTTTTTTTTTCGGTCTCTGTTTAAGAAATTTGTTTATATTAATAACTATTGGGCAGGTTATTGGGCCGAACGGCACATTCCACAGTCACTCACTGTCACTAGTGTTTGGTTCCTCCGACGGATGTCGTTGAGGTGGAATTGGGAATCACAACACAACAATGATCAAAACTCTGGGTGTGTCTTCTGCTCGCATCTTCTTCTCCAAACATCCCTCAACGACTTCTCTTCCTCTTCAGAACCTCTGCTTCTCCTTTCCTTCCTTCATTATTCGCTCCGCTTCGGATCGCCGGAGATACACCGTGATGGCCTGTGGAAGCGGCGGCGAAGATTTCGTGAAAGGAAATGTTTATCCAAATGGCGTCGCTTTCATCACTCTTGATCGACCTAAAGCTCTCAACGCGATGAATCTAGGTCCTTTTTACATAAAAAAAGGTTGTTTCTTTATTGAGTTAAACCAAATTCAAATCTTGAAACTTTTGGAGTTTTTGATTATACAGAAATGGATTTGAAGTACAAAAGCTTGCTTGACGAATGGGAATCTGATCCAAGAGTCAAATGTGTTATCGTCGAAGGCAGCACACCTCGGGCCTTTTGTGCAGGTAAAAAGAAACGATCTTGTTCTGATATGTTGATTCTGGTTTTGTAAGATTTTAGGACAAAACTGTGGAAAGTATGTTGCATCTCTGGTCTTATCTTAGTAGACAATACGGCTCTTCTTCAATGCTATAGATTCTTTGTTTCCCTTTGGGAAGATTTTGGAGTGACCATTTATGAATGGTGCAGGGATGGATATTAAAGGAGTTGTTGCAGATATCCTTATGGACAAAAACACACCACTTGTGCAGAAGGTTTCTATGTGAATCATTGTGTTATGGACTATTCCTTTCTTAATTCATGTAATATCCATGAATTTTGCAACTTCTTGGTTTTTTTTTTTGGTGCTGTGTGTTATGTTTTTTTTGTGAGGGAGTGGGATTTTTTTTTGGATTTGTTCTCTTGCGTAAAAGGATTCTTCTGATCCAATCAAACCTGATTGAAATTTTATAACCATGGTCGTAGTTTATCTTCTTGCATCAAATGAGTCTACTTTATCTAATCAAACCGGATAGAAACTTTTTAACCATGGTCTTAGTTTATCTGCAGGAGGTGATGTGAAGCAGATTACAACCAAAAATCAATTGTCAGATATGATAGAGGTCTGGTTGTGCAACAGTTTTCAGTTCAGTGTTTTAGGAAAACCAAAATTGCTACCTGATATTACAGAAAAAGCGCACATTTTCCAATAGCATTATACAGTCGTTCTTCTAAACATACTTAATGTATTGGGGAATACTTGGTGAGATCTAAGTGGTCTATTATTTTGATCAAATTAATCTATTTGGCAGCACTCTTAAGTCTAGGCTTTTGCATGTTTATTCAATGCTTGTTTTATTTTTGCTTGGATCAACCCATTTTTGAAGTACTCACTATCAGTTTCTTACTATTTTTCTGCATTATACATTTTCACATGATTAGCCTGCAAGATGTATATTATGTCCTAACTTCATAACTTTGCTTCCTTTTAGGTATTTACAGCTGAGTATACCCTGATATGCAAGGTTGCTGGATACAAAAAGCCATATATCTCTTTAATGGATGGTATAACAATGGGATTTGGCCTTGGTCTTTCTGGACATGGGCGATACCGTGTGATAACAGAGGTACAAATAGTATATCCTGTTCAGATAACATTTTTAGCATGATTTTTTTTTACTGTTGTATTATCCATTTCCAGAGGACGGTCCTCGCAATGCCAGAAAATGGAATCGGCTTGTTTCCAGATGTTGGATTTTCATATATAGCAGCTCATACCCCTGGTGGAGGATCTGTTGGTATGTTCATATCTCAGCTTCCTAATAGGATCCTTAACTCTCTATTTGGCTAAGGCTGGTTCTTTCTCAAAAGTTACAAACTTGTGAAAAATGTCGAATATTGGTATAGTACCTCGCCATTGTAGAAGGAAGTTTATTGCTTTCATGTCAATTGTTGACCTGGTCATTGTGTTTACTGTTCAAGGAAGTGTGTTTCATTAAGCTTTAGACCCTTTACAATCTTACAAACAACTGCTAAAGTATTCTCCACCTGCAACTTTTCGACCTTTCAAATTCTGCAGGTGCTTATCTTGGTATGACTGGGAGAAGAATTTCCACACCTTCGGATGCACTGTTTACAGGTCTCGGTACACATTATGTCCCATCTGGAAAGCTGGGTTCACTCAAAGAAGCACTTTTGTCAGCTGACCTGTAAGCCCTGGCAAACTTCCTTCCTCAAAAATGGAACATTTCAGCTTATTTCTATTTATTTTTGCTTCCATTGATTTCATGTGCATAGCTCAAGTTTAGGAGCATTTGGTATATCTCTGTTTTGTTGTATCTCAGAAACCATGCATTTTGGTGATACAGTTCCAAGGATCCCCATCAAGACATCCAAGCAACTTTATCAGAATACAGCAGCGATCCTGAATCTAAAGCCCATCTCAAAATGCTTTTGCCTCAAATAGAATCAGTTTTTGGTGGAAGTAAATCTGTTAAGAAAATAATCGAAGAGCTGAAAAAGTACCAGCAGAGCAGTGAGGCTTCAGGTATGATAGGCATTCTTATTTTAAAGGTTGGGGTTACTCTGATTCCACTTTCTCTATAGCTTTTTTTTTTTGTTATTAATAAAAATATCAAAAACCCTTTTGAGGTTGTGATAAAACTCTTGATTAGTAGTGGTCACTTGTCAAATAGCTTTCTTTGTTCTTATTAATATATTCTCTCATCTTCCAATCCTAGTAGCCAAAAAAAAAGCAATTTCATGTCAATTAGAAGTTTGATAGAAGAAAAAGAATTGAAAATCTTTGTTGTACAGTTGCGGAATGGGCTAATGAAGCACTTCAAGGCCTTGGAAAAGGAGCACCGTTCTCTCTTTTCTTAACACATAACTACTTCTCTAAAGTTGCTTGTGCAAAGGGTAATAAAACCAACAACGAGATGGCAACAGTGAGTTCCAAATTTCATTGTTTGCAATTACGTCACTGAGTTTTTTGCTAGTAATTACTTACTGTGGTTTTCATATCTTGAAGCTTAATGGTGTGATGAAAACTGAGTACCGCTTTGCTCTAAGATCTGCCTTGCGCGGTGATTTCACTGAAGGTGTTCGAGCAGTCTTGATCGACAAGGACCAGGTTTTTTGTTCGCTTATCATTCGATACTTTTTGTTACATTTTCCATCATTTCTCTCACGCGTCAGCTTCATCTTTCTGCTGCTTAATCGTTCATTTTATTCCCTCACATGATTTTTGAGTGTCGTTCTAGAGAAATCGACAAAGAACAAACAAAGTTTATAAATGTATACGTGTTCCTTATATCAATCACACATTTGTATTAAGTCAGGTTTTAGAATAGTACACGAACTATGATGCAGATTTATGATAATCTTCTTGCGATTCACTCTGTTTTTATTTTCGATTTTGGTCTCTGTTTTCTGTTGTGCTACTCTTAAGTTCATTTCAGTGAGTGGTTTTGTCTTTTTCTTGCAGAATCCGAAATGGAAACCAGCAAGCTTAGATGAGGTAAATGAAAGTGAAGTGGAGGGTCTCTTTAAGCCATTAAGTCCTGAAGTGGAAGAGCTAAACGTGTGAAAACAAACTCCACTTTAATTGTTCTATCAATGAAAGAAACGTGACATGTTGTTACTGTATTGACTTTCAAACAAGTTGATCGCTCTTGTGTTGCAGCTTCGTACACAAGCACATGTCCCATTTATACGTATATCGATAACTTTTAAGTCGTAGTAGTTGTTGGTTGAATAACTTGCAACAGAAGCAAACTTAGGTTAAGCAACTGGGAGGTAAGTCTGGTTTTCTCGGTACGGCAACATTAAACCGATTTAATTTGGATTTAATACCGAATCAGACTAAATTATCGTCCGAAAGTGGCGTGACGTCAACGTCGATACCATATTCTTTCCCAAGAGAATTAGAATGCATGCATAAGCTCTTACAATAAAGTTGCAGAATCTTAGAAGTCTCTCCCTTATTTTATTTTGGGCAAAGAATAACCTCTCTGACTAAAGCTGCTTTTGTAATAATTTACAAATCCGGCATTACTTAATGGAATTCAAGTGCATATAAATAAAAAAAAAAATTTAAAGGAGGAGAGAAACCCTAAAGCCTTTTCTCTATCAGACCAAATGAGCAAAGCCCTAAACCCTAAAGCACTGCAATCAATGCGGGTTTTCCTGATAATCCAAGAGAACTTTTGTTTAGTTATTTGATTTTGTATTATTTACATCCGCACAATCCTGGAGAATTATAAAATGTTTTCAACTATCAAAAATTGAAAAATAGATAGAATAGAGTTTGAAAAACATAATCACAAAAATGTTTGGGAAACGTAAATCAATTTTACATAAAAAGTGGCATATATATTATCTCCATTAATCTGAACAGAGCATAAGGATCACTTTCTCTTTAGTCTTTACATGTCAATAAGATACGAGAGAAAACGAACAGTGTCTAGATGTTGAAGCTCTTTTAAAATCAATTTTTATCTCAATATCAAGCCACGAAGAAGAGGAAAACCATGAGAAATGCAATCAGTACGAAGAAAATCTTTATCATTAGCCACCGGTTTGACGATATACTGTTGAGATACCTGGCCAGTTGGCTCTGTGCGCCTTCCACATTAGCCAACGTATCTTCCATGTTCTGATCGATCCTGTACAAACCAAATTTTATTATAAAACTTCCTTTACACAAATGTTCAATGAATCTTTTCAAGACATAAGGTGGTTTACTTATGAGGAAGACGAACCTGATAGCAATCTCCCCTTGTTGAGAAACCATGGTAGCTAATTGTGTGAAGATATTGCTTAGCTCATGGATTGTTGATTCGACGTTGTGAAGAGCTTCTGCACGGCTCTGCATATACGTGTCTTGCAACGGGACCATCTGTTGCTGCTGTTGTTGTTGTTGTTGTTGTTGACTCTGCTGCAACAATGGTGAAGACTCAGCTTCTCCTTGGTTCCTGTAAATGAAGAAAATATAAAGGGTCTTGAATTCATGAAAACTCAAATCTTAAATCAGCAACGACTGACATGGCACAGATGAGACTTTAGTAAATCCATAGCAACATTTTCGACTACAATTCGAATAAATTCTTAGCCAGGTTCCAAGAGAAATGAGATAAGCAGAGTTTTGCAACTGTGGTTAACAAATCAGTAGTACTTCACCTAGGGACTAATTGAGATGAAGATGAAGAAGACCCATTTGCCCATGGAAGAGGAGCAAGTTGACTAGCAGCAGGCCTAGAAGCCAAAGGGCGCTGGCGAACGAATGGGTTTGTTGATTCTTTTGAAGCGTTTGAAGAGAAAAGTTGCCTTCGATTTTCATGGATCTTCATGTTCTGCAACACCAGACCAGTAATCATAACTCAGTCTAGCATCTTAGTACTGAGAATACTGTCAGGGTCGCGTCTGGATACTCATGTTCTATTGGAAAAAGACATCTAAAGGAAACAAAGAAAAAACCTCGGTTCTCATGGTGAGGACATCCTTAAACTCTTTGGTAGTGTCCATCAGGCGGTTCTTTAGATCGTCGACAACTGTTGCGGAGTGAGTAGTTGTGTCTCTAGAGTTGTTCCCTTCATCATTCTGGGCATTGCGGATAGCTTGAAGGTCGAGCAGAGCGGTATTTAGTGCAGAGATCTCTTGTTTGATGACCACCGTCAGCTCTTGTATCTCCTGGGTAGGATCATCGAATACTGATGTCCTCTTTGCCACTGATTTTGCAACAAAATGTCAAGTTCATATAGTATGCTGAAAATATATGAAAAAACAACAGCTTCTTCCATTTCTACCATAACAACGAGACGCTCTGAAGTATTATCTATACTAAAGGTTCCAAAGATAAGCATTTAAAGTATTCACTCCACAAATCAAACGGTGAATCTCTACCAATACCAGATAGATCTTATCCTATGTGGCTATGATGCTTCAATCTAGCATTTTTCTATCATAATCTAAGCAAATTCTACCAGTGATTACATCTTAGATCAAGCCATTACAGTTTCACGGAGCAACTAGATTAAGTTTATTCCAGATTCACGAGATTTCACTGATCAATGAGCGAACTTATAAAACTTACGTTTCGCCAGCTTCGTTAGCTTCTGCGACGTCTGGCTAATAGCCAAACCGATTTTACCAGCTCTCTTCCTGAACTCCGATTGCAAACTCGCGGCGGATCTCGGATCCTCTCTTCTCCCCACATCGCTCCTACCACTAACATACGGCGCATTATTCGCCGCCGGAGCCATCGATCTCCTCAGGCTCTCAACGATGGCGAAGAACTCGTCCGTCCGATCTCGATACGACGATTGCCCATGCTTTACCGGCATTTTCTTCTTCCTCAATTACGTTCGAGAAACTTCGGATCTGGTTTCTCTCAGAACCGGAAAACTAGAGATTCAAACACGAAATCGATTGAGTTTTTGCTGATTTGAAACGAGAACAATCACGCACCGTGTGGCTGTAGAGGGGAAATAATGATTTTACGGATTCAGTGAATCGTGAAGAAACCAAAATCAGAGGAAAAGAGCTAAAACCGATCAAACGCGTCGGCATAGTATTCTCAATTTTGTCCAATGCGTTTCTAATTATCAAATTTTGCCCCTGAGTTTTCTAATTTATCATAATGGTGCCTAAATTATTGATTCCAATTCCCATTTCCGACGTATGTTACTTTGCTGGGTTAATTACTGGGCTTTGCTCATAAAACACTATAGCTGGGCTGGACTTCTAACATTTTTTTTCTCATACAATCCATATGAATGATACGAAAAAAAAAGATAATGTACACTTGCAAATATCCCACATCGCTGGCCAAAAGGAGGAAGGTAACTAAAGTGATATATAAATACTCACACTTCCTTTGCTGAAGTCATCCACACGTGGGCTTCTGATAAGTGCAAATTCTGGATTATGTGTTCAGAATTTGTGTTTTTATTAATCGGATAAAATCGGTAATGAACCAATCACTCGGTTAAGGTGGCCAATCAATATAATCTGCTCAAATAGGGAAACGGAAAGTAAACCCTTTTTTAAAGGCTTTCGAGAAAGTTAAATCGTTACCGCAAAAAAAATAAAATGACAAGGCAAAAAAAAAGTACACAGAAGATTCCATAGAGTCATCTTCTTCTTCCCTCCGTAGTCAATACTCTCTCTGCTAGAGTTTTCGATTTTCTCTGTTCCTTTTTTTTTCTCCTCTTTTCTTCAGCCATGGATATGGCTACTTGCGTGGCTAGAAGAACTCGTTCGAGGACGGAGTCTTACTTGAACGATCTGTTAAATAAATCAAAGGGGATTTCTGTCGAAGAACAATCTAAAGCTAGGAGAGAGAGGCAGAAGAAGAGAAATTCAATACGCGATGCTTGTTCTTCACAACCGCCGGCGAAATCGAAACGGTGCCGAAAAAAGGCGAGCGAGAACGAAGATGTCGAGTTTATCGAAACTATCTATCCGGGAGGTAAGCGAAAAGACGAACATGTAGTAGTAGAGGATGATAATGTAGCTTCTCCTTCGTTGATTGCTCCTACTTTAGAATCGAGATCGCCTGATCCCGATAGGGTTCGTGATTTGCCTGTGGATGATGATGCGAATTCAAAGGGTGTTGAGAAAACTCATGCTTCGACCACTCCAGCGCATGATGTTGTTGATGATGATGATGATTTTGAATATCTCGGATATTTCCCGAGAGAGAAAGAACATGTAGATGATTACAATGTCGATAAGGTTTGTGATCTTTCTGTGGATGATGCTGATGATGTTGAATATCTTGGATCTTTTCCGAGAGAGAAAAAACATGTAGATGATTGCAATGTCGATAAGGTTTTTGATCTTTCTGTGGATGAGTCTAATTTGAGTGTGGAGAATGCTGATTTGAATGTGAATGATACTGATTTGCGTGTAAATGATGCTGATTTGAACGGTGAGGAGAAGACTCCTACTTTGACGCCTTCAGCTCCGGTGAATTCAGAGACCGATGAGGTTATGAGTCTTAGTTCTAGTTCTCAGGAAGGAGTTTCTACAGAGGACGATAGTGATGAAGATGTTGAGTCTAGTGATGAGGATGTTGAGTCTGACTCATCCGATTACATGGAGGAAAGTTCAGATTCTTCTTATAATGAGAGCTCTGAGAGTGATTTCGATTGCTCAGATGACGATGAATTCGGTGCCAGAGACACTGCAAAAGTCAGGAAGAGTCAAAGTGAAAGAGTATATACAGGGGAGAAGCAGAAGAATTTTCCTAGGAAGAATGATATGGATGTATTTAGGCTACTAGCAAAATCTATTTGGAACAAAACGAAGATTTTTGAGGAAGACATCTGCTCAGGGGACGAAACAGCGGAGGATGATTACAGCGAAGAACCTATAGTTAGAGAGAGCTCAAGTGAAAAGGTATATAAAGATCAGAGGAAACGAAGGAGGTCCCATAGGGAGAAAGAGAAAAACCACCTGAATGTGACTGATCTGCTAGGAAACTCGTTTTGCGGGGACGGTGAGAGTTTTGATGGTGGCGAAAAACCATGGCGGGATTTGCCGCCTCTAAACCTGAGATTTGGCTGTTGTGAGGAGCCTGAGCCAATTGAGAAGACAGAGGAGGAGATGGAAATAGACAGTTTGTGGGAAGACATGAATTTAGCTCTAACATTGGAAGGAGTAAACTCGTCTAGTGCTCCTGCTAAAGTAAGACTACTAATTCTTCTGTTTTTTCCCCCGAGCTATACCTGACGATTATGCTTTTTTTTTCTTAGCATTGGTAAGGCATGAATTTAAATCACATGATCTTTGATGTATCAGAGTAGAGAAGTGCCATGCACCAACGGGAAGCATGACTTTATTCTTGATGAGGAAATCGGTCTGAAATGCTGCTACTGTTCTTATGTGTCCGTGGAGATTAGAGACATCTCACCTGCCATGGTAACATCCATTGCGCAAAGAGATCCTAGATTGAGTTGTACTGTTTTGTTGATTTTCTTTTCATATTTAAACTACGTGACATGTTTTTTTTTTATGCATTGCGCAGGATAAGTATCGTGGTAATGTTAACGAGAAGAAGACATGTCGTGACAAAAAGTGTGACCCTTTACTTAACGGGCTTGATTTTGAAGCTTCAGACCGCAGCAATTATGATGCCTCTTTAAAAGATACACAAGGAACTGTCTGGGAATACATCCCTGGCGTCAAAGAGACTTTGTACCCACACCAACGAGAAGGCTTTGAGTTTATCTGGAAGAACTTAGCCGGGTCAACAAAACTTGACGAGCTGAAGAGCTCGGTGGTAAAAGGAAGTGGGGGATGCATTATTTCGCATTCTCCTGGAACTGGTAAGACGCGGCTGACCATCGTCTTTCTTCAGTCATACCTAGAACAGTTTCCAGATAGCCATCCCGTGGTCATAGCTCCCGCTAGTTTACTGTTTACATGGGAAGAAGAGTTCAAAAAATGGGATGCAAGCGCTCCGTTTTATAACATGAATAATATGAAGTTCTCAGGGCAAGAGAACCAGTCAGCTATCGCACTTCTAAAGGGAAATAGTCTCCATAGGAGCAACAAGCATTCCGTTCGTATGGTTAAGCTATATTCTTGGAGGAACAAGAAAAGCATTCTTGGAGTTAGCTACAATCTGTATGAGAAGCTCGCGAGGAATAAGTACGCTGGAGAGATGGAAGAGTTCAGAAGGATGTTGCTAGAATTGCCAGGGTTACTGGTCCTTGACGAGGGTCACACCCCAAGGAACCAGAATAGTTGCATCTGGAAAGCGCTTTCTGAAGTTAAAACGGAAAAGCGCATCATTCTCTCAGGGACACCATTCCAGAACAACTTCAAGGAGCTTTCGAACGTTTTATGCCTGGCAAGACCAGCTTATACAGACACGATTTCTTCGAGGCTCCAGGATCTTAGCAAGTTGAGCCAAGAAGGCAAAAACGGCAAGTTTGATGAAGAAATCGGAATTGGGGAGCTTAAGGATATGATTGCTCCTTTTGTGCATGTCCACAAAGGAAACATCCTTCGTGAAAGCCTTCCGGGTCTTAGAGACCGTGTCGTGGTGTTGAACCCATCTTATCTACAGAAGAAAATCCTGGACAGAATTGACCATACTCAAACCACATTTGAACTTGAGCACAAGCTTTCAGCTGTTTCAGTACACCCATCTCTGTATACGCTCTGCAACCCGACAAAGATTGAAACCCTCACCATTGGGCCAAAAACATTGGAAACCCTTGAGAGGCTTAGACTTGACTCCAAGGAAGGTGTGAAAACAAGGTTCCTGATCAACTTCATCCGATTCAGTGAAACAGTGAAAGAGAAAGTGTTGGTGTTTAGTCAATACATCGACACTCTAAAGCTGATCATGGACCAGGTCTGCGCAGCATTTGGCTGGAGGGAAGGGAAAGAGATTCTCATTATGCATGGTAATCTTGAACAGAAAGACAGACCGCATCTGATACACAACTTCAACAAACCAGACAGTGAATCTAAAGTGTTACTGGCATCGACAAAAGCGTGTTCCGAGGGTATTAGTCTTGTCGGGGCTTCAAGAGTTGTACTTCTCGATGTTGTTTGGAACCCTTCTGTTGAGATGCAAGCCATAAGTCGAGCTTACAGGATTGGTCAAAAGCGGGTTGTGTACACTTACCATCTCATGGTTAAAGACGCATCTGAGTGGGAAAAGTATCGTAAGCAAACCAAGAAACATCGCATATCCGAAATGGTCTTCTCTCCTACCGATGACAAGGATAAGCTGGTTAAAAACCAAGTTGTCTCTGAAGATAGAATCCTCGACGAGATGGTTCGGCATGAGAAGCTGAAAGATATGTTTGAGAAGATACTTTATCGCCCAAAGGAATCTGATATGTTTACCAACATCCTCTGATTGAAACATTCTTTGCTCTCTGATGCAGAGCATTCTTATCCATTTAGGATGGGCTCGTCTCGTTGGTGTTGACGTGTCCTCCAATTCATGTTTTGTTTTCCTTTCCTATTTTTGTTGGATTTTAAGTTTTCCTTTTCGTTCATGGATTTTTAAATAGCCTTAGGTCATTGTTCGTGGCTATATGAAAGGATCCATTGCTTTGTTGTAAACTCACCCTTTTGTTTTTGATAAATTAATAAAAAACCAAAAAGAGGAAACTCAAGTTTTTAATGTATCTTTACAAAAATAGTAAATAATTTAGAGTTATATATTCAAATTTAGGGTAAAAAAAATTAAATTTTAACTTTAAAATACAGCAACAATGTATATTAAATAAAAATAAATACAATAAAATAACAAATAATAAAATTAAAAATATATAATCAATACTAAAAATTAAAGAAAGATAAAAAAATACAAAATAATTGTCTTAAATAAAAATCTTAACACAACATTTTAGACTATAGTAATCTAATAATCTGATAAGTTGCTTTGATTTCTAATGAAATGTTGAAAAAAGAAAGAATAATTATAACAAATAACCATCCCGCCATAAGTATTTGCAGAAATGACCAAAGCCAGAATTGGACACTATTCCTTTTCTTTTAATACGTATTAGCCCCTATATATCTATAAGCATACTTAAGACATAGGTAAATAATTTGTCAGATTATGGACGAATAAAATATTAATATAATACATGCAATGAATACATCCCACTGGGTAAACGAAACATCTTTCCGGTCAAAAGGCGTATATTATGCGTCCAACTGAGCCGACGGTTCAGAGAGAGCACCCTTTTTATTTTTGGGTGAATAATTGTGTACTACGCATCTGTAAACCAACGGAGAGGCAGAACCAAAGATGGAACCATCCTTACCGGAGAGGATTTTTGCAGCCGGCGAAGAACCAATCGGCGAGAGGATAAACTGCTATCACAAATCTAAGGCCATCAACAACATTCTGAGCGCCTTGGACGAAGAGGAGAGAGATTTCCTAAAAAAATCGCCATTTGGGAAACTTATTGCGACGGCGGAGAAGCCTGCACTTTCCGGCAGTTTCAGACATTTTATCATCACGCGGCTACTAAAGGTTAGCAAAAAATACGAAATATGGATTCTGTTCGCCGGGAAACCGGTTAGGGTTTCTCTCAGGGAATTTGCGATAATCACCGGTTTGCCGTGCGGAAAATATCCGAGGAAGCAGAAGAAGAAAAAGAGAAATCCCGTCTTGGTAAAACCCTATTGGCCCGATTTGTTTGGAAATCTAAAAGCATGTAGCATCGACCTGGCAGTCAAGATGTTGAAAAAAAGGACCGTCGTCGACCACGAAATCAGGCTGAAATACGCCTGCCTCGCTATCACCGGAGCAGTCTTATGCCCCACAAACCATAGGTCCAAAATCGTATTTGAGCACGTGGAGCTGATCAGAAGTCTCGACGAGTTTTTCGCGCACCCGTGGGGCCGTGTGGGGTTCGAGATGTTGATGTCCAGCATCAAGTCTAAAGACGAGGTTGCACTCGCTCAGAGTACGGTAGCCGTTAAAGGTTTTTTTCACGCGATACAGCTTGTGCTAGTGGAGGCATGTCCATCGTTAACGGAGGTTGTTCAGCTGAACGAGTCGTCGTCTGAATCTGAAACCGAGGGGGAAGACGAAGATGGTGAGTCAGAGGACGCCGGAGCTGCTATCTTGCAGGAGAACACCAACACCGATGGTATTTTGGATGGTGAGAGTGACAGAAATGCTCCCAAACCAGCGACACGGACGACGTCGGCGACGGTTGGACTTAGCCCAATTCACGCGAGGGACATCGACGAAGAATGCAAGGTACCAACACAAACTCTAACCGGTTTAGTGGACTACAATCCATTTATGTAACCGTTACCAATCATGTTAACGAACCAACAATAATATTTACTGATAACATTAAATGTAGGTCGACATTTTTAGCATTATCCCCGACGATACAGATGCTGGTACGGAGGGAAAAGACTTCAGCTGGTCCGACGATGAAGACGATCCCAGGGTTGAACATATGTTACACCTGATTGGGGAGGACTTCGAATTCCGCAAACACATGTTTAAGGGTGGGTTGACCCAGGCCGAGTTGGCCAAGATGCGACTGGAGAGGAAAGAAATCAGGGAGCGAAAGGAGAGGGAGAAGGAGAGGGCCCAGGAAAATGTAACAACAACCGGCGGCCAAGCTGCATACGCTGCAGTACCTGATAATATTGCCCAATTATTGTCGGCGTCGGTGAAGGCAGAAATGAGACCTTTTGAGCTTAAGATGTCAACCGCTATTGACCAAATAGCGACACTCGAAGCAAGTCTGTCCACTCTTGGAACGTCGGTGACGGCGGCTATAGAACAAAAGTTCACCACAATGCAGGAGGAAGTTATCAAGAATATTCTTGAATTTTTGGGGAGATCCATTTCCGGATTTAACAGGCATGATTCACCGAGAGAGAGATCCATGGCACGTGAGTATGAGAACAGGGCTGACGATGGGCTTCAGGCAGGCGCTAGAAGTGGTACGAACCAGGCACAGGACAAGGCTTTGGCTGATGCAGTTATTAACGCGGCCGTTGCGATGGCTTCCAACATCAACGCCGATGTACCCAACGATGTTCAACAGCAGAGGGGCGAAGGAATGGCCGACTTTACTTCAGAGGTCGGCGAAACTAATGACATTCGGACGGAGGGACAAGTAAGTTCTAAGCTTTTTGCAAGAATATAGGTGACTGAACAAAAACATTTTTAGCTGCCTACAAAATTACATACACTTGATATATGGTAGGGTAGTGGTCTAACATAACTGGTAGGTGGTCTAAGTTTCAGGTTATGTATATCGTAGATGTTGTCTGTGGTTATATTCTTTATTACTTGATAGCGTAGCAGTCTATCATACTTGTTAGTTGGTCTAGAGGTCCGGTTAACTACGTCGGTGGTGTTACCTGTGATTAGGTTTCGTTTATTCTCATGTCGTTGTGTGACCAGGACGATGGTGGTCTAGGCGAGGGAGATGGCGGCGATCATGCTCTGGATAATGGAGATGAAGGGGAATTCCCTCGGCGTGGCAAGAGGGCCCGGGTGCAGACATCGTTTAACGATTTCCATGTAGACCCCAAGTGGGTATCATGCACCCTGGGTAGCCACCCCTTCATATGCCACCCAGACGAACAGTCTGCGTATTTTACAAAGTTTGCTCGGTTGCACGGGATTTTGCAAAATTACCGGTGAATCTCCAGTTTATGTTAAATTATTTATTACACATTAAAATATTTTGTTGACGGTTGTTTTATAATAAACAGGCTCATCAGCCTTGGCAGCGGAATCTCTATTAACAACAAGGAAGTACTTGAGATTGCTGATAGGACAAAGCCTATGATGCCCAAGGTATTCTTTATCTTTTCACGTAGATATGGCTGTTTTCAAAGTTTAGGTGTAACTTGATTGTTAGACGCTAACATTTTACAAGACATCGCTAATTTTTTTTTCTTTATGAAGATGATGGACGCCCTCCTCTTATACGCCCACACAGTATATGTTCGACATTGTTCCGAGCCTCAGTTGAACAAGGTTGCCTTTCTTGAAACCAAATTTACGACTGCCTTAATGAAGTCATGGACAAAATTTTCCCGGGTGGCTGTGAAAGACCGACATAGGTTCAAGTTTGGGGATTGTGTAATGGATCATCTTGAGTTCGACAGTGTAGATCTCCCTCCACCTGAGCGCCTGTACCTGCCTTTCAATTTTGACAGGGACCATTGGGTTGGCATTGCTGTTGACACCATTGCGGGAACTATGACCGTAATTGATTGCAACTGCTCACTGAGGACGGATGGCGCAATAAAGAAGGAGTTGGCCCCGTTGTCTCTTATGTTACCACATGTAATTAGACAGAGTTCGGCTAACAAACGAGTTATCGAAGCTAAACCGTTTTCTATCCATCGACCAAAGGGCATACCCCAGAACTCCATCATGTCTGACTCTGGTGTAACAACAGTTCTCCTCTTAATGTTCCACTCCGTGGGAGGGATTGATCGTTGCAAGACGCTTACACCCGAGGAGATGGCCAAGGAGTCTCAGGTGTTGGCTGTCAAGTTTTTTGAGGAGTTTGACGTCCCCTCCTAAGTGAAACATGTGTTACGGTGTCATCTAGAACTTTTTTCATTGCGAGGAATGTATTTCCTTTTACAAACTTGTTTGAGTTTCCTAAATTTATGTGAACATGTACGAGGTGTCTAGTTCAGAGCTTAACGTTATTGAGTAAGTCAGAAACCAGTTATTTTTTTTTAAATAACACTAGTCAATCAGGGGATAATCAGTTTGTTACCAATTCTATGTCAAACAATAGACCACCAACATTTTTATTAGGTCCACAGTCAATTTTGGTATACGAAAACAGATTGTTACCATTGCTACATCAAACGATGGATGACTAACATTTTAATTAGTCCTGCAAACAGTTTTCTTATCCAAAACCGATTATATTTTGTGTTAGAAGAGAATTGGATCTGGAGTCTGTTGAAATAATAGTAAATGGTCGAGACGTATGTTAACATATAGAATACTCTAACATATAAGAGTTTTAAGTGAGATATTCATGGAAGGAGTGTAAATTGAGGAGTTAAATAAGGTCTCACATCGTTGTGGACCCCCTGTAAGTAGATGTGAAAATATCTACCAAAATCCTGCGAGCTGCAATATGGACCACTCGTTGCTTTCCGCGCGAATAAAGCATTTAATGCAGAGATGTGTGATAGATCTCATTGACCTCTGCGCCATATCGCTATATGTCCGTATGTATAGGTTATACTGCTCAGTTGCTCCACTATATAATGTATTAGCAGCTTGAACCCATACCACGCCACTGTTAGACCTGCAAACAGGAAGTAGGAGAGAAAAAATTTAGGTCGTGCCAACAAAACTACAGAAGTCAAGTTCCGTGCGAGGAAACAAGGTAGGACCACTGTATCTAGTTTTGTTTGTGCGTTTATGTCGTTGTCTCTTTTGGTTATGTTCTTGACAGTGAACATGTAGTTTTAAATGCAGATCTCTTAACTTGCTCATCCCTCGGACCAAAATAAATGCTTTGTTGCTTTGATTTTAGAGTAATTTCATGATCGGATTATATATGGATATAGTACTAAAGCTTCGTCATGCTTCTATTTCAAGAAAAGGAAAATGGGTTATATGCTGAAATATTCTAAAGGAGTGTGGAACCGATCTCCGAATGGAGAGTGGGATTTCGAGACAGACACCAACGACGGAGGGTACGGACTAACGGTGATAGAACGGGAAACCTTCGAGTCACTAGACGGAATGCTCGGTTCAGTCTCCATCCACACACGATGATGGCAATGACTTATCAACTCCCAACAAGCTCGTCTGTGCCACAAGGACGCAAGGCAGCCCCTTTCGACATCATCAACAACAGCGATGTCGACCGCTTCATGGCTTTGCGCGTCGAGGTGGAGACTCTCGCCATTTGTGTGACCATAGGAGAAGAGAATGTTCAGCGTTACCTTTCAATGCAAAGGTCTACTGATCAAGTTACCGGTCCGCCTCTTGGCATTATCCGTACAAATCAAGCGTTATTGGGTAACCTTTCTGGTAACATCGATAAACATTTTATTAGCGTCGTAATAAAAAGGTTATCTGACGATACTTTTTGGTGGACTTGTTGATGTTAACAACTTTTGTGAAGAGCTCATCAAGGGACCGACAGTGCAAATTGCTGAAAGTGTCTTCCACGAGATCTTCACGGAGGACGAACAGCGTGTCATCCTGGATGCCCATAACGCACTCACTCAACTGGAGGCTTCTCGTCGACCGGCGGGAAAAGATGATGGCAGATCAACCCGCCGGTGAAGGCAGCAACCAGCCGGCTCCGCCGGTGATGGTGGATGAGGAGGAACTATCCGATGATGAGGGCGACTACATCTCGTTATAGTTCGATATATGTCTTGTTAGGTGTAACGTTTGGTGATATTGTGTAACTTTAGTTATGGACATGTGAACAACTTTTTTAGCATATGCTTACATCTGTTATAACTTTGTTAGCTCGTGCTTACATCGCTATATGTCTCCGAATGGTGAGTGGTTTTTGGCTCAGGAGATGGCCAAGGAGTCTCAGGTGTTGGCTGTCAAGTTTTTTGAGGAGTTTGACGTCCCCTCCTAAGTGAAACATCTAATGTGTGTTACGGTGTCATCTAGAACTTTTTTTATTGCGAGGAATGTATTTCCTTTTACAAACTTGTTTGAGTTTACTAAATTTATGTGAACATGTACGAGGTGTCTATTTTAGAGCTTAACGTTATTGAGTAAGTCAGAAACCAGTTATTTTTTTTTAAATAACACTAGTCAAACAGGAGATAATCAGTTTGTTACCAATTCTATGTCAAACAATAGACCACCAACATTTTTATTAGGTCCACAGTCAATTTTGGTATACGAAAACAGATTGTTACCATTGCTACGTAAAACGATGGATGACTAACATTTTAATTAGTCCTGCAAACATTTTTCTTATCCAAAACCGATTATATTTTGTGTTAGAAGAGAATTGGATCTGGAGTCTGTTGAAATAATAGTAAATGGTCGAGACGACAAGGTAATCAGTTTGTTACCAATGCTATGTCAAACAATAGACGACCAACATTTTAATCAGGTCCACAGTTAAATTTGTTATACTAAAACAAATTGTTACATTGCAACGTGATGTAAGAAACAAGGGGTTCCCACGGGTAACTAGGTGGTGGTGAGACAAAGCAGGCGGTCGCCCTCTCTTTGGCTCGGCGAATGATGGAAGGATGGGGATCTGACACGCAGGCGGTCGCCCTCTCGTGTGGGATCTAGAGATGGTGTGATGGCGGAGTGAATACACGACACAGAGGGATGGTGATTCTCTGATATGGTGCAGGGGCTCACGCTTGCTTGAATCTCACAAGGAAGCCGTGAACAAGATGAGAAGCTGCTTCTCCATAAACTTTGAAGAAAGTTCGTTCTTTTATTGATAATGGGAAAAAGGTTGGTGACTACAAAGCTGCGTGTGGGACTTTATAAATAGTCCGTCAGCTTGAACCTTCTAGGGTTCGACTCAAAGAAAAGAAAAGGACTCAAAACGACAGGAATTTGAAAGAAATAACAAGAAACAAACCTAGTCTACGAAAACATAAACTCATCGTTTCATTTATTACAAAAATGGAAAGTTTGCTTAAGACTCTTTAAACTAAACTACTGACGTCGTTTTGATGTTGTACTTAGCCGTTGTGAGGGCCGAGATCACCTGCAAGAACGATATAATAATTGAAAAGCTTACCTTGGTGTGAAGGGTTCAGGTTGGCCGCTTGTGTGGCTGTGGTGGCCGAGCTTGAGGCTGTGGCGTCCTTGGCTTGGAACCTTCTTGTAAAGTCCTCTAAATGATTTTCCAATGTAGCTAAGTCTTTGTCTTCTCGTCCCCAAGCCTTTTGGTGCTCCGTCCTTGTGTCTTGGTGTTCTTGGCCTTTCTCGGGTCCGGATGGTGTGTTGTGAAGCAACTCCAAGTCTGTTCGCTGGATGGACAAGATTCCACGTTCATTAGTCTCAGTATATATACTTGGACGAGAGATCTTACCTTTGTTGGAGGTTTCCAAGTCGTCTGGTGGCTCCAGCCCGGGTGTCTTTGATTTATCGACTAAATCTTGTATGGGCTCGGCCATCTCATTATCCGCTCGGGCATACGTGCATCTGTCTCGTCCATTAGATTCAGCTGGTGATTTTGGTCGAGCAATGTCAGCTTCAGTACGACAGATTCCATCGCCAGGTCGGTCTGGCCGAGGTGACCCTGATTTCTCGACTAAATTCTCTCGCGTCTCGGCCAAAGTTTCTCGCGTCTCGGCCAAAATTGCTCGCGTATCGGCCATTTTGGATTTCTTGACTAAAACCTCTCGCGTCTCGGCCAAAGTTTCTCGCGTATCGGCCATTTTGGAATCATCTTTTAGTTCTTCAATTTCTAGGCCTGAAAATGAAATTCTGCTCGGACTGTTAGCATTTAAATCAAAAACTGGTCGAGAGATAACCATTTTGGCCTGAGAGATTCGGTCATCTGATGGGCCATTTCTGGATCCCAAGTATTCGGCCCCGGTTTGGCCGCAAAGCTCGTTTAGGCCGTATATGACATTCAGGTCGGGCAACAACGGGTCGTCTGGTTCTAGGGAGTTGATAAAGATGTGTAAGGTCCTCTTGTATCTATTTCTGAGCTGTTTAATCCTGGAGCATGTCATGGCCCCGTCTTGGACGGATGGCATTAGCTCCGGTATGGTCTTAGGGTCGATGTCCACATCACAACGTCAAACGATGGATGACTAACTTTTTAGTTAGTCCTGCAAACATGTGTGTTATCCAAAACCGATTATATTTTGTGTTAGAAAAGAATTGGATCTTGAGTCTGTTGAAATAATAGTAAATGATCGAAACGACAAGGTAAATAACATAAGTTTATATTAAGGGGCAACATTGGAGATCATCTTACAAAGTATTTTACAGAAAACCGAAATAGAGCTGCTTAGAAAATACAAAGCATGATAGCATATTCATAACACATAAAAGCCAGCCATACAGGCTCATTAACGATAAATGCAGTTAAACAAAAAGGTAACATACTGCATTGCTTGATTTGCCCCCTAAACCCCTGCATTCCCCCTTTTATTGGCGCTATATGGCCGCCTTACATGACGCACGATTATGGCCGAAGCCTCCACAACGTCCACAGACAACCAAACGCCTTGGCAAACCCCCCTGTAACAGTATAAGGAAAATGTTCGATAACCAAAACAATTATATGCGAGACAAAACATGTATTGGATGGATAACTATGAAGATAACATAGTAGAATTATGCGTGTTACCCCGAATTCTCCACGTGAACGGATGCGCGATTTGCGTGGCCTGCCTGGGGGACGACGTGTGTTAGGTGGCTTAAGGTTCAGAGAAGTGAAGTCGTCGCCCACTGGGAGAGTTGGTGCAGACATTGTAACGGGATAGATGCTGCACTCGTAAGCTTTATTCCAGAAAGCTGTGGTGTATTCAACCCCAACCAAGGAGTCAACTCGGGTTTCAGATCTCAAAGCCGCGACAATAGCGTGGCAGCAA